CATATTAAATTGGCACTAAGCAGGTTGTATTCAAGCATTTCTGTTAACACATCAAGCATAAGATATTTATACAAATATTTAGCGTTGAAAAGCCTTAATTAAAATTAATAGAAATGCTCGTCGACTTGGTTACAAGGCCTGAAGCAATGCAGTGTTAAAGTTTTACAATTCAATCTAATTTGTGAACACCAGATTAGAATATTGTCAAGCTAGGTTCATTCTCATTTAGCAACAGGATAATTTCAGATTAAATCTGTTGTCAGTAGAATAAACAAAAATATAGATTTGGGGTGAAACTAAAAATAAAAAAAGTAATTTGGTGGTTTATTTAACACTGTCCATATTTTGTATACATTATTAAGGACGAATGTTGAAGGTCTACTGCAGACAAAATGTAAAATGGAATGAATGATATTTGTAATGAATAGAACGGTAAAAACACAAAAAATAACTAAATTGCATAAAAAAAAAAGATTGAGAATAAGTTTATGATGTGTATTGCCAAATTAAATATATACATATACAATCTAAAAAAAAAACCCCGCACCTACACAATTATTTATTTCATGAATGCCCCATCCCATGGTCAAAACAAGGTGGCCTAGCAGAATCTCCTGTAACATCTAGTTTGATGACCATTTCAACTCCTATAACTGTCCAAGAAAGACAAGGACAGAAGTCCAAACATTTATCAATATATTTTTGCATGCTGGCACAGCTATTACGAGGAGGAAACAGTCACTACTTTCTACCACATGGAGGAAACAATCATTTCTTTCTACCATAGGGACGAAGCAGTATACTTTCTACCACATGGGTAATGTAGTCACTGCTTTCTACCACACAAGGGAAGCAGTCATTATTTTCTACCACATGGGTGAAGCAGTCACTACTTTCTACCACTTGGGTGAAGTAGTCACTACTTTCTACCACACAAGTGAAGCAATCACTATTTTCTATCACACAGGGGAAGCAGTCATTACTTAATTCCACATGGGGGAAGCAATCATTACTTTCTACAATAAAGAGGAATCAGTCACTACTTTCTACCATACAGAAGAAGTGGTCAATACTTTTTACCATAGGGAGGAAAGAGTCACTACTTTCTACCACACAGAGGAGGCAGTCACCACTTAGTTATAATAAGAAATAAGAATAAAATTGAGCTCTGCCTTAACAAGCATTCACAAACGATTAAGTCAAAGCAATATATTAAGACAGAAAAAGTAATAGGTAACAAAATATAAAGACAAAATATAAGACTGGTAAAATTTGCTGGCAGAAGTATGCTAGACCACCCAATGAATGACAAAATAAATAAGCACAACAGAACAAAGTAAAAACTGAATGAGGGTATTCCTTATTTCTGTCATGGTAGTGTTCCCACGGGTGACTGAGGCAAATAGGTGAACTACCTAGACACAAATAACTATTTAAACATATTAAACGTTTCTTTAATTAAATGATGAAAATTGCTTGAAGAACTTGATTTCACAGCACATATCAAGGACATCTAGTGCACTTCAGAACAATTAGGTAGTTAGGAATATTGATGGCTACATTTAATCAGAGAAAACTTCAATTCCAAGTATGTAAAAGCTCTGTTCTGAAGTGGTGATGTGTCAATATAAATAATTAAATAGGCCTACCTTTAGGTTATGACATTTCAAGAGGGACTAATTTCACCCTTGACAAGATCAACAAGTATGACTTTTGTGAAGTACTTAATATATTATTTTTTTTTTACCTGATGTTAATGAGCACATCCATGACTACAGTAAAGAATCCTACCAGCCAACAAGGCATTAAACTATTGGGAATATGGAAGCAATTTAAACAGTATCTACAATTAATGAATACTGGGCAATTGTACTACCATTTTTTTGACATCATTCATGTAATAATCCTTGTCCTATTTGTAATAGTAGTAAAACAAGACCTTTAATAAATATTGGCACCATAAAACATTTTAAATGATCAGTTGTAAAGTCACTCAATACCTATAGCAAAAGTAAAAACAAAAAGATCTACACTAGTTATGGCAGTCTGGACAGTTTCAACAAAGTTATGAATTCTGTGAGAGCTGAAGTCAACTGCAATAGATCAAATGTCAGTCTATTAGTTTGCCATAATTACCATTAAATGCTTTATTCAATGCAAATGTAGCATTTTTATTGTTGGTTTCTTGAAGTAAACCAATTTTTCTGCTATGATGCAGGATGGCTAGAATCAGTAATGATGTACCAAGTATTGAATATGTATTGACAGAAAATTTTACCCAAGAATTTGAGTACAGTAATACACAGTGGGGCCCCATTAATCCTTCATACCTGGCAAATAAGTAAATTTGAGCAAATTGTCACAAATATTTTAAAACATTAAATAATGTGAATCAATATAATTTCTAATTAATAACAAATTAGGCATTACAAAATCAAAATGGTTTCAACCGAAATAATGGAAATCTCAAACATGGCAAGATAGATTTGAACTTTGGCTGTGCTATGGCCATGATACAGCTGTAAAACCCTTTGAATTAAAAGTATGTTGAAAATATACACGAGACTCCAGATATACTTTGGCCAATTTGGAGTGCATAAGGATATATGATACTGTTTTACCAGACAAACCTTATCATCATACAGTACCCTTAGTCCCAGGAAACGGTGCAAAATATGGCCCACTAACTGTAGTTGATGAGGACAAGCACACTTCAAAAAGAGTTTACATTTTAACAATTATGATACTGTGAATGCTTTAAAATAAATTCAGATTATTGCAATATTGGTTTGTTAAATTAATGTGACCCTAATATATATTTCTGCTAATGAGAATGACACTGCAGAATAATTAAATATTCAGAAGTAAAGCACTCTTGACAGTCGTAGTCTAATAGTTTATAGTATCTATTAAGAGTAAATTTATTCAGAACAAAGTATTAATGGCTGCAGTTGATACAATATATATTAGTGGACAGATACAAACCTGTTTACATAAAGCAGCTAATAGTGTAAGGTCTCTTGTGATTATAAATTTACTCAAGAATATACACTGTGAACTACTATCTGTCTGCGCATATACATGTATATGTACAAGTGTCAAAGTGGGAAACTACAACATTAACATCCTAATTATGTAGGAATGCACTTCAGAATGATAATCCACTTTACCAACATCGAACATCATAAGGTTATTCTGACATTTCATCTAATATGTTCTTCTCTTACATTAAAACTTAAGTAAAATAAAATAAAATAAATTAAGTCCAAGCAAGCCCTGATCTGAAATAGCTGCCATCATCACCACCTTAGAATATTGCATTTATGAGTGTTAACAGTCAAAATACATGAAAACAAAGATAATGCAAGTTCAATGACAGGGTCTACTGTTTTAGAAGTTTCACTTATATATATATATATATATATATATATATATATATATATATATATATATATATATATATATATATATATATATATATATATATATATATATATATATATATATATATATATATATATATTCTCAGTTGTTACAACCAGTATATGTTTTACAAACTTTGCCTTGATATTGATATTGCATAACTTCAGCTTTACTAATACCATAACTACAAAAGATTGAGCACATGGCCTTTAGAATGGACACTAATTATCAAATATAATTATGTCTAACAGGTTGTGTTCAGTATCACATGTCTTTTGGTAAACTTAATCATAAGTGCTATCATAATGTGTCAAAATGATATTACAATAAATAAGCAAGCACAGATTTTTACTACTATATCAACTGATTTTGGAAAACATGCAAGGAAGCTCCATTTCCCTTAGTCAGGGTCTAAATCAGACAGGGCATTGGAGAACAATGTATTCCCATGTTTACTGCCATAACCTCCTTAATGCAAGTCTAAAATATGTAATACATGTAAAACTGTAAACATTCAATAAAAATGATGAGGTTGTGGAGCACTGTAAGAGATGTCTTGTGTTATCCATAAGCCCAGTGAATTGTGAATGAGCAGTACAATGTTGAAACACATAAATAATTAGGAAGGAGGAGAGTGTACAACAGTATAATAAGAGCAAAGTCTCAGTATTGCACCTCTTTGTTTATATTCAAAACCAGGAGCAAATTTTCTTTTACTACTCTGTTTATGCATTTACATTAATACTATGGACATTAGTACAGTAATTACATAATAATAAATAATAGTAAAATAAATGACGTCTTGCCAGATCCAACAAAATCAAGACTGATAATGTCAAGGTCATTTGTAATTACTGTTCTGTTAGTTACTCCTAGTTTGAAAAAGCATAAATTAAAACTTGTCTGTGCAAGTAGTAAACATACACATTATTGATGTGAAAGGGCATGGCTAGACAAAGAGCTTAGTATAAAAATCCTTTTATATATATATATATATATATATATATATATATATATATATATATATATATATATATATATATATATATATATATATATATATATATATATATATATATATATATATATATATATATATTACTCTGTTATATACAAAAATTAAGCCATTTTGCCAATTTCCTAGTTTTCAGTTGAGCAACCTACTTTTCTTTAAATAAAGTGTTATTAATAATGTTATTAATGCAAGGAAATCTTTGGAAATTATGACTTTTGATATTACCACATATTAATACTTAAAAAATGATTAACCCTTAATAAACATTATCATTAAAATTTGATTGATGGTCTAAGAGAGGTTACCTTAATTTACCTCTTTGGAGAGCCATGCCATTCCTTCGCTGTGTCTTACAACTGCACTTGTGACTAGATCAGCCAACAGGAGCCTTCAATGTGGCCTTAAAAGGCTGTGTCTTTATTTCAGCATTAGAATTATAAGTTTTATGTTAACCACAACTGTATATGCCTTACTCGCAGGCACCAGTGGACACCAGATAGCTGATCGCACCTTAATAAGACTGAGAGTTAGCTGATTCTGTCACAATTTACGACTTTATCACCTTAATTGTTATTCCTTCGTCCTCTTCATCCTCTTCTGCCATCATACTCAGTCTCTTCTTCTCCTCTTCATTAAGAGCATCTTTTTTGTTACCACGTTTCTTTGTGCTGCGGGAGATAAATGGTATAAAAAAAAATTTATATAATGGAAATATTGCTTAAAAATATCCACCATTTACTTCTTGCACCTTCAATTTTAATTAAGAGCAAATAAATAAAAAATAATTCTGCAGTTTACATTTGTATAACAATCATGTGCTAGAGATAAAGTACAACAGCAACTAATGGGTGAATATCTTTCAGCAATTTAGAAAAATTAAAATGTGAGAAAATATTGTTATTGAGTTAACTAAAAATCAACATTGAACAGATAAAGTACTGAAGGCTACCCACCTAGAAGAAAATAATATAGTAGTTTAATATATACACAAAGAACACTTTATAATCTTGACCAATAATATAAAATAATCTCAACAAAGTATGTCCGTGCAAATTGACTTCATGAAAAATATTTAAAATTAACTAATAAAGATATCTTTAAAGGAAAAGAAAAAACAACAGGAAACAGAAATCATGGGCAAGCAAGAGGTTCCAACATTCCTTGGGTTAAAATGGTAGCAGTTTTCATGAAAATGTAAAATTAAATTTTTAATTCATAGGTATTTACTTTCCTATTGCTCTGCAAGTACAGTAATTGTTTATAGCATCTAGATATTGTCTAAAAACCAGGGCCTGAAAAAAAAGAGAGGAAAAAATGGCAACCAAAATGGTTTAACTCTAGGTAAAATATTTGTAATAACTATGCCAAAAGCCTCTTGTTATTCCTTCCTTTCTCTATTCTTTTTCCTTCTTCTCATCCCTTCCTTTAACTCTTATTTTTCTGTTCTAGCATTTAAATCTGATCACCTTCCTGGGATAAGGGAAATTTTCAGGCCCTGTCTACAAAACTAGGTGTTCAACTCAAAATCTTAGCATTTAGTTTTCAAACTGCTCACGTAATAACACCTAAGTGTTGGCATATTATAAAATTCAAGACATTAACAACAAAATGAGAACTTAATACAACTCATTATATAAATACATCGGAGAGATCATATGAATAATTTGTACAGCTCTTCCAAATAAAGAGTACTAATTATGTTAATGGTGTTAATTAATGAACACTTAAAAAGCATTTAATGTCATAAGTGAAAACAGAATGTACAAGATCCTAAAATGGCAAGACAAAACAATATACAGTACTGTACACAACTAAGCAGCATCAACATTAGAAGCAAACAAAATGCAGGCAACACACATGCTGTGCTATTTATGAGCAGAATATCAAGCAACGGCTCACAGGCCAAGTGTACGTGCAGAGGTACGTATGTTGGTGTTGCCCAAGTGTTGGTTAGTGTTTTGCTGTTCATGAATAGTGTGAAAAATTGGCAATGTTCATGCGTTATAAATATCATGACTCCAGCTTGATGTTTATATCACATTTCTTTTAATATCATGAAAAATTTACCAATTTACAGACTATTTCTGAACAATCATAATTTATGCTTACCTGTAGCCGTAGACAACCTGTATGTTGGCTGACATGTCCCGTTTCCTTCTGTGATCTACAACACTGGTCACATTCTAAACAGCATCACTACTCCAGTAAAATATTCATCCTCTTCTTTAGTATGAGAAAAACTGTTCCACTCTCTCAAGATACTAAGTATAAGTAATTTATTCCTCGAACTATATTATAACAATATCAAGTTACAAAAAAAAAAAAAAAAATATTCATGATCTTGGCAGCTTTCTCCACACATTTAAGAGGATAAATATTAGCAATGTTCTTCATACCTTTCAGTAATTTCAACAAAATATTGAATAATTTTTGTCTTCAAATTACTGATCCATACCACAGATTAGTACAGTACTGTATTAAGCATGTGGTTGAGTTCTCTATCTCTTCCATTTCAATATCCTACACACCATAATTTCAACCTACAGGCATGTTTTGGGCTTCAGCTTAAATTAAATTATCTATAAAAACTCAATGTTTATTAGAATATGTATAATATATATTAATATATATATATATATATATATATGTATATATATATATATATATATATATATATATATATATATATATATATATATATATATATATATATAACATATAAAAACTATATATGCGATATATACTGGCTCCATCAGACAAGAAATGCCCAGAAAATATAAAATTATTTTTCAACCCTTCTATATATAAATGACAAGTTCACCAAAAAAAAAAAAAAAAAAAAAAAGTTTTGTTGGTTATTGATGACCTTAAATGTTATCACCGAAAATTTATGTATCTTATTTTACAGTAATGAGCAACACTGACCAGTCTCAAACTTTAAATGAGATTCATACATCTGTACTGTACTGTACATGTAAAAGGAACTTAAAATTCGTTCATTTGAGACTGAACACCACTGCATGACACAGTTGGAGTTAGTTGAGATTATCATAGCGAGCTGCCATAAATCCTATTTCTTAAAATATAATTACACCTATGACATGTTAGTGACCATCTACCCTTGTGACTGGCCACCATTCCCCTGGTGACTTGAGTATAATATTGGATTTCTGCAAAAATATTCCAACTATGCTAAGAGACTTTCAGAATTTGCATATGCACTTACCAAATATAACTACTGTACTGTTTAATACATTTAGAGGAACAACTGTTTAATACATTTAGAGGAACAACTTTAGTTTTGAATAATATAATTATCTTTAATATTGTAACTCCACATCAATAGGACAATTCTTAATAAATATATTGGTTACACGTTGCCCTAAATAATGACATTTAATTGTCAGATGTGACACGAACAGAATCACAAGAAACAAAGTTATGCCTCTGTACTGGAAGCAATTTTTTGCATTCATCCAACAGTAACTGACCTTTTATTTGTGGCATTCTCACTATCTGATGGTCTGTACACTTTTACACACAACAAAATGTACATTTTGGTATCCAGTAGGTTTTTTGCCTAGTTCATCTTCACCATTCTATTATAAAATGTACAAGTGATCACGAAAGCTAGGATTCTTTCACAGAGAAATCACTATTGGCAATGCCAATTTTCTTAATGCTATAATTCTCTATCATTCAATCTTATCATTATTGTCTAATGACAGACAATTATTATCATAAAATTATATATCCCTGTCAAACTCCTCCCATAAAATACTAACACTAATATAAATGAGGTTATGAAACCTGGATGTGACAATACAAAAAGGATCCATATCCTCATCTTGAAGCATACATACCCATCTTTAACTCTACATTATCCTAGACTGACCATGGATGAAACTTCCCTAATAACCCATACACTGGGGTTCTGCTGAGATCTGAGGAAACAAGCAGTGGAAGGTTTTCCCTGAAGTCATATTGCATATAAAAATGGAAATGTAAGGTGTTTTTCCAGTAAAAAGGATAATTTTCAAAGGGACCAATACCTGGAATTGTATAACAATTTCAATGTATAAGAGTACCTAATTGGAAAATTGAGGATATGTGGTAAAGGCGGAGAGACATTTTGGTGAGCTAATAGGGTAGACTTTGAAACATGGTTAATAATATGGGGTACAAAAAGAAATAAATAAAAATCATAAAAAATAAATAAATAAAGCAGGACAACAGAACAAACACATTAAGGCTGAACAAATATTATAGGGGGCGGTCTTTTAGCTGACCTAATGAATGTACTGAAGCAAGCAACTACAACATAAAAAAATGGGACAGCACAAAAGCAAAGACAAGGTACACAAATGAACCCTACAATTTTTTTTTCATTCATGAACTAACTTCAAACTATTGTTAATGGAGACAAATAAAAATTACAGTATTGTAGGATTCATCTGCAATTAAAATTGTAAAAAAAATTAATGCACAAACATAGACAAGGGACAAAACATGCATTCCCACAAGGATTCGTATGAACAGTGCTTGGAGAAGGCCATCATGAGATACATATACACAGGGGTTAATCCAAAATAAGCAAAAGTCACATTTGGGACAAAGAAACACATGGCACAAACTATTAAACAAGGACCATAAGAAGGATATTCAGAAGGACAGTGACAATGTTAAACTTGCAGTTTTTCAATGTTGTATTTGTGAGCAACTGTTGATGCACTTTCCTCATTTCTTTGATGATTAGAGAAGATAGTAAACTGATGTAAAAGAAAGGGAAGATTAAGTGTACTAGTTGATTCAATCTAAGGTGGGATTCCAGAGAACGGCGAAGAAGTAAGTCCCAAATATTGAAGCCGGCACAAGGCTGTGCAGATGTTAACGGAAATTTGAATCCCGATGTGTGCCTATTTCTTTACCCATCCCAATGGCTGAATAAAAATGTCCAGATCCTTGAAATCTGCATCAATGAAGAAGGTAGTCTCTAGATCCCCCAATGTATTGGGGTCAATCGTACTTACAAACGACACGATTCATTCTCAATTTCCAATGTGCTTTCCTTTGTGTCGGAATCAATTTCTGAGTGACCCATACACATAGGGCTGCCATTCATTTCCACATCACTTGCATGCCCATGAGTCACTCCATTGGCCACACCATTTACTTCATCATTAGCACGGCTCTTCTTGCGGCGGCGGCAGCGTTTGCAGCTATTACGGCTCCTTTCCTCACTGAAAGTTACGGCTGGTCGTGAGCTGCAGCACGATAATGCAATATTGCCGTCACCATGGTTAGTACCCACACCTTTGCCTCAAGATTAATCATATGGTAGGCTTTATAAGATACTTACTGTGAATTTGGAATCTTAAGCTATTATAATTGTTAGTAACGATAATATATTGATTGATTTTAATAAAATATATATGAACTGAAAACCTAACACCACCACATAGGTTATTTCTAGAGGCATAGGAATTGTTATGGAAGCCTCTGGGTTTCCGAATCGAATGGATTCAACTTCGAAAGTTGTTGAATTTTCTGCTACTTACCTCTGTCTTGAATTCTAAGGGCAAGGCACTTACGATGCGCACCATTTGTGATTCTTTGTCTTCATAAGCCACAAAACACTAACTGGTACAGCTAACTCAAGCTTACTGGTCTATTCTAAATGCCTCGTGCTTAACATCTGAATCAGGGAAGGATGCTTAAAGGAAATTTTGGTGCAATAAAGGTTCATTGTACTTAATATCAGAGGCTGCACTGATAGAAGTTTTATCTGGAATAAACAGTTCACGAACAATGTAATGTTAATGACGTACTGTACTGAGAATGTAAAACATTACAATCATGAAGGCTACACCATCAATATTTTGAAGTAAAGGATAATGCCAAGGTATGTGAGGATGTCATACCCTCTACTTTTATTTCCATCACTTTCATTTGAGGTTTCTATACCTCTTGATCCAACCCACACAAAATAGAAAGCAGCATATAACTAGATAATTGAAATTTATTTACAATATATATATATATATATATATATATTATATATATATACAGTATATATATATATATATATATATATATATATATATATATATATATATATATATATATATATATAGTGGGGTATGCTATAACGAACGGATCCTACTACGAATATTCCTATAACGAACGGTTTTACCTATAAAATTGAGAATGCTATAACGAATGAAACTCCTACAACGAACAGTTAAAAATATTTTTTTTTTATTTTTTTTTTATTTTTTTTTACTAATTTATTGTTTTTTTATTACAAGTATTAATGATATTCTTTATTTCAGGGGTTTAGATGCATATTTATGCACTTTTTTACAATCTTTACAATTTTATATTATATTTTTCAGTGTTAAGTGGTTGTATTTGGGGGCCTGGAACGGATTAATCCTATAACGAACGAATGCTATAACGAACAAGGTCCTAGAACCAATTAGATTCGTTATAGCATACCCCACTGTATATATATATATATATATATATATATATATATATATATATATATATATATATATATATATATATATATATATATATATATATATATATATATATATACAGTATATATATATACAGTATTACCCCGCTTAACGCGCTTTCACTTAACGCGTTTTCGCATATACGCGGTGCCTTGCCAAAGCTGAACTTTCACTTAACGCGGATTTTTCCACATATACGCGGTGAGTGTCCGGCTCGAGAGCTATTTTTAGATTCGCACCACCCCCGACCCGCCACCCTGCCTGACTGCCTGTTTTAGCTCATAAAATTCATACAAATTACCCAGCCAGAATATAGTTTACATTGCTGGAATTCTTATAATTTGGTGATCATTTTGAATATAAACAACATATTTTTTGCATTAAACATACAATTTTTAGATAAAATGTTTAATCTGAGTAAGTATGTTATCTTTTGTCCAAAATATATGACATTTATATTCAAAATATTCCTGGTCATACAAGGAATCCAGCAATGTCAATTATATTATCCTAACTTTAGTTTGAGGTATTATTTATTAAAATTTAGTGGTTATCCCACACATCTCCTTGGGACGGTTGGTGGGGGGTTGGGGGGAGGGAGGGACCAACCGACCGACCATCTGTTACCCGGTGAAGAATTATTTTTTTTTAACTGAAGATATTTGTTTTAGCTCATAAAATTCATACAAATTACCCGGTCAGAATATAATTTCCATTGCTGGAATTCTTATAATTTGGTGATCATTTTGAATATAAACAACATATTTTTTGCATTAAACATACAATTTTTAGATAAAATGTTTAATCTGAGTAAGTATGTTATCTTTTGTCCAAAATATATGACATTTATATTCAAAATATTCCTGGTCTTACAAGGAATCCAGCAATGTCAATTATATTATCCTAACTTTAATCTGAGGTATTATTACTAAATGTTAAAAACTCTTGAATGGAGGATTGGTGGGGGGTGGGGGGAGGGTTGGGACTGACCCCGCGGTTGGAAGAGGGGGGGAGGCAAGGTGGGGTACTTTGATTGACAGATAGTGTTGAAGAATATATTTTTTTTTTTATTAACTGTAGATATTTGTTTTAGCTCATAAAATTCATACAAATTATCCGGCCAGAATATAATTTACATTGCTGGAATTCTTATAATTTGGTGATCATTTTGAATATAAACAACATATTTTTTGCATTAAACATACAATTTTTAGATAAAATGTTTAATCTGAGTAAGTATGTTATCTTTTGTGAAAAATATATGACATTTATATTCAAAATATTCCTGGTCTTACAAGGAATCCAGCAATGTCAATTATATTTTCCTAACTTTAGTTTGAGGTTATCCCACACATCTCCTTGGGACGGTTGGTGGGGGTGGGGGGGGGAGGGAGGGACCGACCGACCATCTGTTAGCTGGCTGTGTACTGTAGTGTGAGAGGGGGAGGGAGTTGAGTCCATTATTTGAATGGACATTAACTTGGCGACTGTATTTCTCTTAAGTATTAATTGTGTGCATGTACCATCATAAAATTAAGATGTTATTTTTACTACAACATAGTTATTTGTCGTCAAAAAGTGGAGTTTGGGGGTCGGGCTGGGTTCTATTGGAATTAATCCCATATGTTCTGTTATTCACTTAACGCGGTTTTCACTTAACGCGGGACCCTCTGGGTTCAATTGACCGCGTTAAGTGGGGTACCACTTATATATATATATACTGTAAATAAAATTCAATTATCTAGTGAAGGCTGGGTGTTAGGGTAAGGCCGCTCATTAAAATATGGCATAGCTTATTGAATTCTCCAAATTTACTTCACAATACCCAATGAACACTGTTATCATTAATTAAAAAGTAAGCACTGTGAATAAAAATTACAACCAAAATGAAGGTGCTTGGTCCCATTAAGTAACCTTGGTCCAATGGCTGTTGCTATCCTGTGTACAGTATTTAGTTTTCAAGTGCATAATAATGCACCATTAACAATTTGTTGATTCATAATGGTTACAATCTATTGCATAAATGTAAAAGAATGAATGATATTTTTGTAAAATTAAATTCTTCCCTGATTCATTGTTTTCATGAGGTAAAACTGATTCCATGCTACAAATTCAAAATAAATAATTTTATTATTCTACATACAACACTCCTAAGGCCTGAAAAGTCTACAAGAGTAAAAGTCAAAGTACTCAATTAATAATAAGTGTGTTTGTGTAATTTTTTGTATGTGTTAGAATTATTAACTCAAGAGCTCAAGTACAGTATTGCAAATTTCTTGAATATTTTATACAGGTTGTACCTCTCTAGTCCGGCATTCTGTGGTCCGGAAACTCCCCTCAGGCCCCAATGTGGGTCAGTGACCTATGCCCGGGTGGGCTAATCCCCGTAAAGAAAACAACAAAGCCGCGGGAAATTAAGGTTTGTTTACATCCGACAGTTCGGCTGCTCTCTCTCTCTCTCTCTCTCTCTGCTTGTCTATACAGAGTACAACATTTAACCCTTCAATATATATGAACGGTAAATAAGTGTTGCTCTCATATTCTTATGTAGAGTAATGACGATATGTTTTCACATGTGCGCACTTACATATGCGATCTCTCTTTTTTTCTTTACCATTATCGTTAGCTACAGGTACTTCTATTGTTCCATTTATTAACATTAAATAACATTACTTAAAACAATCATATTAATTTTACTACAGCTACAACCAGGGTCTTATTTTCTTCAGTTTTATATGTAGAACCAGTCAGTCACTGGTTTTGTAAACAACAAAAACAAAGCCATCTCGTCTCCTCGTGTGTTTTAATATTCTACGTATTATTAATGAATTGTATTGCTCATTTTGCACACATAAACATTAATTCAATCAAAAAGACATTCAGTAATAAACAATAATGAATCCTTTGTACATAAGAGAAATGACGTCTGAACGTTGGCGAGCCGTTCAAACACGTCGAAATTCGAGTTTCCGCCGTCAAAATTTTTAATTTTTTTTTTGTGTTCCAATAAAAAATGTTGAATTAAAAACTCGCAAAATTTCAGAAGCTACTGTACGACATTTAACCGTTCAATATGTCTTCAAAGAGACCATAAAGCAGAGAAAGTGGTGCTAGTGCTTCCAAGCGTAAGCACAAGTCACTATCTATCCAGGAAAAGGGTGAATTTCCATGGTCCGGCACCGGTCAGGCCCCGAGGTTGCCGGACTAGAGAGGTACAACCTGTACATGATTAATTAATTATATTCTCATTAAAAATATAAACACAGAACTTGTAAGAGATTATCAGTAGCATACAATGTCCTGTTAAGCTTTTCTACTGACTTCTTAATTCTAATACAGTGTTTTTTTAATCAAATTATGGATCTTCCCACACTAAGTGCCAAGGCTAGAAATGTGAATTTTCTTGTGTGTGTGTATGTGCAAATATGTACACTCAGTCCTTCTCTTGTGTTAATTTTTGCCATTGTCAACTAAATTAGCTTCTCATACAATAAAAACCATATATTTTCTTGGCTACATGGATATAATGCAAACAGTAAAAAATGCCACTCATTGAATAGTTCTATCATATATCATTCTACAAATACCTCATGAAAGACCTATATTATTACTGTATATCAAATAAGATCTACTGAGAAGTAATAAATAAATATAGAGAACCTATTTGTATATCTTGTTAAATAGAATTTGTGGAAAGCCTCTTTAACTATTTGTTTGTCATTTACAGTTCTGTATATGGAAGGCCTCTTGGGTTGTCTCATTAAGAGTTTGTCAGGATGTCTTAATGCTGTTTGTTATTTAGAGGTTAAGCATTGGTAAAAAAGGCTAAAAAAACAAAAACATTTAGGGTAGAGGACTGTGGTAGGCAACCCTTAGATATGACTAAAATTTGTGGTGGTCTGCAGTTATACAAAAACAGTCAACCCTCGCTTTACGCGGTCCCACTTTACGCATTTCCACGTTTACGCGGTACCCTGCTGAACACGGAATGCTCACTTTCTGCGGTGTGTGTACCCTTTTACGGGGAGAGCGGCGCGAGCAGGGTGCACACAAGGTCGCTCAGTCATCAAAACATTACCGAGTTCTTCACCCGCCACCCACCACAGCCGGCCCAAGTCAGTGATAGTGATAATGATAGTGAGGATATGGACTTATATGGACTTTGAGGGGTTTGACAAAGAGGCCCTGCAAGCCTCTGTGATGGATAGTGATACAATTGATACAAGTGATACAGGTGAGGGCCAATAATCTGCCCTCTGCCTCGGAACCAACCCCCCATCCCCGTGTGCCCAGCCATCTTTTCTATTAATGTAAGTGTTAAAAAACCTAATATTATTGATATTTCTCTTAATTATTAATTGTGTGTGCATACCATCATAAAATTAAGAAGTTATTTTTACTACAACGTAGGTATTGTGTCTGAAAAAGTGGGGTTTGGGGGTCGGCCCGGTCTCTATTTCAATTAATCCCATATAATATGTTGTTCACTTTACGCGGGCCGCCGTGGGTTCAATTGAATGCGTAAAGTGAGGGTTCACTGTATCATCTGCATGGTAAATAAATTATCTCTAAACAAATGCTGCATCACAATGAGGTGCATAACAATTAATTCTTGCTCAATTAAGAACCGGACGGGAATGTATGGGATCACGAGTTCTGTGGCTAAAGTAACAAATTGTTAAATAAATAGGACAAGCTGGACAATGAAGGACAAACTCATGTGGAATAATGGGGGGTAGGGGTGGGGGATTAAACAAGCCACTGACTTACTTTCCCCATCAAATTATAAATTAAAAGCACTTTGAAGTGATGAAATGAATACAGATATATTTTAATTATTTAAAGTTCAGTTATTAATTTTTCAAGTACTGTATCACAGAATTGAATATTTTCTTCTGGGGAAAATTTAACCGACTCCGAGTTCACCAAAATCAGTAAATTTTATTTAATTTGTGACCTAATCAAAATCAGGAATTTTGGTTAAGTTCTTCATAAAACTTGCATGACTACAGTATATACTTGTGCTCTGATTGATTGATTGAGTATTTGTAGAAAGTTACCCTGTAAGCAAACAAGATATATCATGTTGAATGCTAGATATTCCACAAGTTCTGGAATGAACACGAAATGTTCATTAATGAAGTTATGTTGGGAAACAATCCTTGAAAAAAAAAAAAACATCAGCACCTTGTAGCTAATCTCTAGAGGCTAAATCTTCATTGCATCACACATCTTTATTGACAACTTTGTGTGATGTTGAAAATTATTTTGTATATCCAGATTTCATCTGATTTTATAACCCTAGTCAGTGTTATAGCAAGTAGTTTAGTGGCTTTGCAATATATATATACACAGCTAGACCCCGACTTACGACTGCTTCGACTTACGACCGGCGGGACTTACGACCGCCGCTGTTGTGACCATTTTTTTTTCATTTTTTTTTTTTCCAAATGACACACGCATTTTCTATACCGAAACGTTTCCAGTTAATGTAGTCTCCATGTATAATTAGAAAATTATGGGGCCTCATGTGCATTCAGCTGACTACATTAAAGGTAAGTGCTCAGTCACACTGTATCCATTCCTCATTATTTATTACTTTTACTGTACTGTATTTCATTGTAGATTTTTTATTTAAAATTTTTTTTTTTTTTTTTATCTATGTCGGACTTACGACCTGGATTTGGGTCCCTAACCCCCTGGATTTGGGTCCCTAACCCCGTCGTAAGTCGGGGTCTAGCTGTATATATATATATATACGTACGTACGTACGTACGTACATACGTACATACATACATACATACATACATACATACATACATACATACATACATACATACATATATACATATATATATATATATATATATATATATATATATATATATATATATATATATATATATATATATATATATATATATATATATATATATATATATATATATATATATATATATATATATAAGCAAATATATTTATGTATTTAGGGGAATCTGAACTGAACTGGTCATGAATTATCTTAATGCAATTCATGCAATAAATAAATAAATATATAAATAAATAAATAAATAAATAAATAGATAAATAAATATTTAAAATTTTCCAGGAAAAGCTGAAAGAGTGGAAGACTCCGATAAACTTTACACAAAAACAACTGCAGACCAAAAGACACCTAAAAGCTATTTTCAGACAGCATGGCTACATATACAAAAGTTTGTAAATTATCCTACAGTAGTGAAAACAATTGGGACAAATTTACGAATAATATTAAACTTTATGGTGATCACTCATGGTGGGTAATAACTTATTGTAGTATATTTATGTACTGTATACACCACATGTGGGCAATAATTCTACTGATATGATTCAAGGAATGTCTTCAAAGCTAAATTATGTTTATAGAATTCGTCAGACCTGGAAAATTATTTGTACATGGCCATAATGTAATGAATATTAAGCAACATCAACTTATTAGGTTGTCTTATACTTCAGCTTCCTCACTGTATAAGTCTGTTACCAAACTTCCAACCAAACTGTATCTATAATTCATAAAAGTCATACAAAAGACAAAGTGCTTTTGATCTGCATTCAGCCACTGGCAATAAAATTACTTGCAATCATGTCTTCGTTAAAGTCAGAGCAAGTTGGTGCATATACGTATATCTTTCACGTGGATCAAAAGAGACATTTGTCATATTAAGCTACACCAGCAATGACAAATGTGAACCTTTTCCCTGCTTGCTTCACAAAACACATATTACAGCTTGTGAGTTGTATGTTCCACCAGTGTACATAGAAATAAAATTCTCTGGCATAAAGCACATGGCAAATAACAGGTACTTTATCACATTTTGCTATCAGAAGACTTCCTTAATGAAAAGCAAAGGTAAAAGTATATAGCACTGTAGGCCACTTGTTGATTAATACACTAAGTGGTAAAAAAGCACTTTCTCATACAAGCATACAGTTATCACCATGTCATAGCTTTATTGAGCTTAATGTATACAAGTATCTGTCCTTCAACTATATGAAGTCCATTTCACTTTTGTTTTGGTAGGATCATTCACAAATTTATGCATTATACTGTACTCTGGTTAACTAAATTAAATTTGTCTGCCAATGTTAATTATGATGAACATTTTCTACTGTAAAAATAAGATACCAATAGGTCAATTAATTATTACTACAAAGAAAAACTATTGTAAATAACTTTTAAACACTATGGTAAAAAATTACAAAACCAATGTTAGATCATAAGAAACTATAAAATCATAAGAAACTATACTTCTTTTTGAAACAGATTAACCAGAGTCAATTCTAATCAGGGAAATGAAATAAAATTTACCTGATACTTAAAGCAGTCTATGAACTTGGTAATTATGCATAAAGCTTCAGATAAATGATATTTCAGATGCATATATGATTCCACATTAAAAAACTGGCACAAACCCACAAGTAAATTTCTTGCCCAAAATGATTGAAAGCAACAGAACACACAAAAAAGTAACATCACTTACTTGTTCTTAGTTGGGGAGTTTGGAGCTTTCTTTTCCTGGTCTTTATTGATGTCCATCCACACACCACTCTTGTTGACTTCCTCTGAGATGTTGATTGGATTCAAGGGAACTTTCATCACATTTCCATTGGCCAGTGGGATGGTCATTATACCTTCACTGGTGGGGAGCTGAAGAGAATGATTATTATAATTACATTCTACTAGCATTTAACCCATAATATTTTATGCAAAGCTAGTTATCTATCTTTCCATATACAGTACTACATATCTTTCTATCGTCAACTTAGAAGCCAAGTTCCCTGAGTCAAGTGTTGCTTACAAAATCTACATAACACAATGGATAAAGGGTTTTGACAACCCTACCGAGACAACAGAAGTCACAGTATTCATTCTGAAATTCATCGGACCCATTCATAAAAATACTTTTCTGATTGTGTGTATGATATGTTGAAAAACATTGATGATGATGAGTACAATATAATTAATTTGAAATACTATAACATTTTATTTTAATCTTACAGGTTCCTTCTTGCCCTCTTCATCCTCATCCTCTTCATCTACTTCGATCTCCATCCTCTTCTTGCGGCTAAACTCAGGTAAGGTGTCATCTAAGATTTTGAGTTCACGTTGAGTAAAGATCCAATCCAGTGACTTTCGGACACCAACCATTACCACTAACTGAAAATAGAAAACACAGTAAAAGATCTACTTGTACTACATGAACACAATTGGGCATGAGCAGATAATTGATAAATGTGGATAATACAGTACAGCATGCCCTGACAATTCGTGGATAACACCCTGGTTGTACCCAAGAATGTCTAAGGGTAGTTTTAAAGTTGCTGGCACTTTTGCAACCGGGACAGGGAGCCATTTGTTCTAGAGACAATAATTTCTTTTACCTGTATTGTATGTGTGTGTGTGTACGTAGACACACACACACACACACATATACAGTATATATAATACAGGTAAAAGAAATAATTGTCCTAAGGGCAAACACATAAAGGAAATATACATTTCTTTGCACAAGAGTAAAAATGTACCCCCCCCCTATTTTAGTAAATATCAAGAAGTTTATACTATTCAATAATTTTAAAAGTTTAATATTCAATTTTTTAGTCATTTTAACAATTATTGAACATAATTGAAGGTAAAGTGACTAGTTTAATGCGCAGCATCCAGCCTCTTAACACAGCAAACAGGCATAAGTCTCTCTCTGTTTTCACTGGGGGTAACATCTTGCTTGAGACTCTCTTCAACTAAACGCTTTTTTCTGTGTTTCCAAGCAAATTATTAGTCATTTTGAAATATATTTTACATATTGACAATATATAATGCAGTGCAGTGTTGATTTAAAGAAAATAATCTTGAAATACACCAAGAGAACTAAAATTTTATGGGTGAAATGGTGCCATGGGGTGACTTCTCTTCCACCCCAATGCCTTCTCTTCTTCTTTCTCCTCCACCCCCATTCTAATTCCCATCATCATCATCATCATCATCATCCAGGAGCCTTCTACATACACACCTCAAAGTAAGTGAACTTTTCTACCATTTTTGTTGAATTTAGGCAATTTTCGGTGAGCTGGAACCAATTACCCAAAAACCCATTGAAACAATGGTTTCGGTTAACGAACAACCTGCTGGAACGGATTGTGTTCGTTAACCGAGGGACCACTGTACAGGAATCCACTATATGAAGCGTCACGCATCGTAAGCTGCTTTCAGACAATCCGGGCGAAACCCGTTTTTTGTTGGAAAGAACTATTTTCGGCCTAACTCTATACGATGGTAGTTGAAAATATCTCCTTACTACACTGTAAATAAGGTTGAAAGCCCTTTGAAAATAGGATGGAACATTGATTTCTAGCAGACAGGAAATTATGGGTTTGGCTTTCGCGTCGTAAGGTGCTCTCATCCCGTCAGTGAGTGAGTGAGTGAGAGGAGCGGGTAGCCAATGACAGTGGCCAGCCTACAGCCTCCTCCCCTGTCTCCCCCAATGACAGTGAGCATCTGCTACCTATGTCATGGCCCCTCCAGTGGGCGGGATCTACACTCTGATATCGATTAAAGTAAAAAAGCCATAAGTGGGTGGGAGCTTTGATGATTCAAGTCAACATTGCAACAAGCCAGTACATTGCTTCATGATGCACTACTTACCATCTGCAAGTACAGTCCTTTAGCTTCAAAATGCATCCACAATGAATGCAGTATCTCAAAAAACAACAAAGTTATACATGTTTGAAGTTGGAAAAACTTTAAACACAGTTTTCTCAGTTTCAAATTTTGGTGTGAATAACCCATACGTTGCGGGGAGCCTCATATTAACAAGATGCTTCTAAACTTACCATAAGTGGGAAAAGGATTGAAGTCTGCTTGAAGGACTTGATGATCCACAGCACAGCCAAACAAGTGAGCTGAATTGCAGTAAACAAATGCACCTTTTTCAATGGGACCTGAAAAAAAAAAAACACACACACAAAGTTAATTTATCTTAATAAAGTACTGTATATGACGTTTCCTACACTTCTTCCTGCTTATAATAAACTTCCAATCCTCAAAATATATACTGCATATATTTTTCTTTTTTGTCCTGTAAGGCTAGACCCATTACAATGGAGTATTAACATTATCGTGAGAAAAAACAAACTCCACGAGAGAGAGAGAGAATACTGAATCAGTTTGTGTCAGATCATCTGAAAACATCTCAGATGGGACATCTTATGGAGTCACTTCATGACCTGCACATGGATTTCATGCAGAAGGCTTCCTTCACAACCTTTCACTACTGGTACAGTACTCCAAAAACTTCAATGTTTCTCTATTTGAATCCCCTGAGTACTGATCCCTCTAAGAGGAAGCCACTGCGTAACTTGGAACAAGTGGAAACCCTATCTCAGCGGAATGCTCTCCTTGATGTCAATCCTCTTATCAGGGGAGCCCTTGAAACCTCCCTTACTCCTTACTATGATGTAATCATCGGCCAAATTCAAAAACAGGAAATTAATTTATTGTATAGTTGTAACTGTGAAAGAAGAATGAACATTTTCTGTTTTATGGTAATAATGTAATTGTTGAATACTGTACTAGATATTGAAAGCACTAACAACTTTCTTTATCTTGTACTGTAGTATGCTAAATGTATATAACCCATAATAATGAACATTAAGAACTAAAAAAAGATTACGTTTTACACTGTATTTGAAGTGTGGTGGTGCGAGTGCGTTTTGTGCGTTTTTATAAAAGAATGTTTAGGGTGAATGATGTCAGAAAAGGTCGAGAAGCAGTTATAAACCGCCAAGTAATGAGGAATTTTCTATCAAGTTTTATTTTAATACCTATACTGTATCCAGTCAAGAATTATGCTCTGAATGAATTATGTATATAGATACTCAGTCACCTACCCTGATGACAATGTGTTAGGTTTCAATGGGTGTAAAAAATGAACAGATTAATACTTACTTGTCTCAAGAAAGTGTAATCAGGCTGATACTTGACAGGCATAAACATGATGAGGATACGGTCAAAGAACTGAATACCCTTCAGCGCTGCAATACCCATGTACAGGAAGACACCAAATAATACAGCCATGGGAATCTTACGGAGGATTGGTGTCATCACTACTGACAACCCAATGAAGATAAAGATGGCAATGTGAGTCAGACGATTTTCTCTGCAAGGAAAAATGGAAATAAAATTAACAGTTTTAAGAAATAGTGCAATTCAGTTGGAGAAAACTAATTAAACCAGGATATTCTCTAAATTTTGAGGGAGAAGGCCCCAAGAAATTTTCTTTTGTTGTTTATTTGCATCCTATTTGCCCCACACACTTATTTTCCAGCATCTTATTTCAGTAGCTCTTAATTTGCTTCTTCCTCTTGCATTTACAGTCCATATGCTTTAAATTCATACAATAAACATCAGCCCAATGATCCCCCTATACATCCCCATCCTTGCCTCCTTTGACATGGTCCTCTCCCCCACTCCTTCCATGCATTTCTCAATCCATTACAGTATTACCCCGCCTAACGCGGTTTCACTTAACGCGTTTTATCATATACGCGGTGCCTCGCCAGAGCTGAACTTTCACTTAACACGGATTTTTTCCACATATACGCGGTGAGTGTCCGGCTCGAGACGCTATTTTTAGATTTGCCCCACCCGCCACCCTGCCTGACTGCCTGTTTTAGCTCATAAAATTCATACAAATTACCCGGCCAGAATATAATTTACATTGCTGGAATTCTTATAATTTGGTGATCATTTTGAATATAAACATCATATATTTTGCATTAGACATACAAATTTTAGATAAAAAATTTTCTCAGAGTAACTATGTTATCTTTTGTGCAAAATATATGACATTTATATTCAAAATATTCCTGGTCTTACAAGGAATCCAGCAATGTCAATTGTATTATCCTAACTTTAGTTTGAGGTATTATTTATTAAAATTTAGTGGTTTTCCCCCAAAAATTTCTCTGAGAGGGAAGAGCCGGCAGTGTAGTGTGAGAGGGGGAGGGAGTTGAGTCCATTATTTGAATGGACATTAACTTGGCGACTGTATTTCTCTATTTCTCTTAAGTATTAATTGTGTGCATGTACCATCATAAAATTAAGATGTTATTTTTACTACAACATAGGTATGTGCCTTCAAAAAGTGGAGTTTGGGGGTCGGGCCGGTTTCTATTGGAATTAATCCCATATGTTCTGTTGTTCACTTAACGCGGATTTCACTTAACACGGGACCCTCTGGGTTCTATTGACCGCGTTAAGTGGGGTACAACTGTACTGCTCTTTCCCACCATTGCTTTGTGATTAAATTCTTCATTCATTGCTCTACTCACAGACAATTCTTGTGTGTGAAAATTATGTCAAATAATTATATCTTAAAAATCAATCCATTACCTGTGTATGACAATTTAGGCAAAATAAATAACTATGATTTCTAAAACTTATTTGTATTATTTTGTAAACGGGAATTACATAGTACAGTAACACCCCGATTAGCACTCAGGATACGTTGCTGGAAAATGAAGCGGTGTCTGAAACAGTGCTCTATGGGGTCATTACACCATTGCACCATGGAGGTATGCTCTTAATGATGTTATTTTTTACCTATGAGATATATAGTACAGTATGCAATATTGTATGTGAGGGCTGCATGTATTAATAAACACAGATTATAACAGTAATGTATCTTTACTAATTCATTAATAACAAATAAACAATTTACTGTACAATATTGTACAGTATCATGAAAGACAGTCATAGAAGAATGAGTGAGGGAGGCAATGTGTCGGTGGATGGATGGTGGATGGATGGATGGATGGATGGATGGATGGATGGATGGATGGATGGATGGATGGATGGATGGATGGATGGATGGATGGATGGATGGATGGATGGATGGATGGATGGATGGATGGATGGATGGATGGATGGATGGATGGATGGATGGATGGATGGATGGATGGATGGATGGAGGGAGGGAGGGAGGGAGGAGGGAGGGAGGGAGGGAGGGAGGGAGGGAGGGAATACTGTATGGATCTGCTCTGGCTAAAACTAATCCCTCTCTGCATCACTGAAGTTATGATTTAGGTGGTGAAAAGAGGTAGTAGTGATGATGGTGATGAGGGAGATCGTGGCATGTAAGTGGTGAGAAAGTGATGCATCTATCAGTTTATTTGTTAATACTGACCACAGTGCTGCCAGACACTTTTGAACAGCTGATATCCACCCATAAAATTGAGTATAAATATAAATGAGCAACGTTATATCCCTTGAACATTACTGTACATTACATAACATTTTATAATATGGAGTGAGAAAGGTGTGGGTGATAAGAGAAGTGGAGTGGTAACACCCACCGGGTATTGCCAAGCGCTCCTCAACAGCTGACACTCAACCCGCCACCATGCACTTGTTTCAGTTAAGCACACAAAATTTTACATCATACAATAAGACCTACCCTTAATATAAAATTATAAAACACATTTAATTATCAACTGTAGTCATGAGTACTCACTAAAGTGAGTATAAACAAAAAGAGTTGCTTTAAGTGTTGTGAGTATTCGGACTTGTGATTTTTTTACTTCATTTATCACTTTTCATCCTGTTTTTTTTTTCCAAGTAAAACTAGAGCTTCAAGAGGCAAGCAAGACCACTATAACCAAACAGCTCTCTACAGGGTAGTGCTAACTGGAGTATTACTGTAACTTTTTGATATTCAACTTTTCATAGAGAATTAAAATATCAAATGTTAGGTTGGTGAACTGCAAGGTGCAGTTTCATGTTAACATTTTATGAAATTTGCAAAATTATGATGGACAACATTGTTTGAAAGGTGAAGAAAGAAAATTACACAGTTTTAAGGCCCTTCTATTTATTTTAAAATACTGTAATAATGTGTACTTGACTTACCTGACACCAAGGAACTGAGGTTTCTCACCAGGGGCGGCACACTCCGACTCTAGCTTCAGTGAATTGACGTGGTTAATGGAGAGCACAGTAGCAGCCACAAACCATGGGAGACCCATCACAGAGTTAACTATAATGAGGACTGACAGGATGAACAAGTCAAGATGGTAGCCACCGCCCTTCTGCAGATTTAATAAAAAAAAATATATTATTATGTGTCAGTTGGAATATTTTACACAGTACGGTTGCAGTTATGAAGAATTATAAAGATGAAATATGGCCATGTTTTTCAGTTCTTTGAAAGAAAAGTGCAAGAGAAATACAGGGATCACTTCATACTAGTAATATGCAGTAGGAGTGAAAAGCAGTACAGTATCTCAAAAGCAGGTTGAAAATTTTTTCTAAATACTATACCTGTTTGGTTGGTTTTACTGGCCTGTGTCATTATGGTTGTATAACCAAATACCTTATATGCTCGAATACAGTTCGAGTTTTTATGATCAAATTTTTACACAAATAGGAAGGGGTCGAACTAAATAAACAATATTTTTGAGGGGTTAAAATTCATGCATTTCCGTGGGTCATTAAATGTGAACAATAGCTACCTGGTACATGCTGCTCATGGTAAGCTAACCTTACCAATAAGTTCCTTTAACCAGGGCTTACCTACTGTACCCATAAGTTCATTCTTTACATTGCTACATGAAGAGAACCTCATTCAATTTACATGCTGCTTTAAATCTACAAAAGCTGATACAAATGAAGATTTATAGATAATTTTCCTTTCGTTTGCATGTTTACATTGCTGGTGGCATTGTTGCCAAGTTAAGGCTTGTCACTGTAGCCACATCCCCCTCACTCTCTCCCTACCCAGCCTAGCTGTGACCTATGTTGTGGTTAATTTTCAACCAGTAATTTTGGGTAGAGATATGCAAGTTTCTTAAAAAAAAAAAAAAAAAAAAAAGTATAGTCTGCATTTACGCGGTTTTTGTTTACGCATTTGGTCATTTATGCGGTGCCTTGTCAGAATGTAAGTGCTTTAATTATACGGTAAGTTTGGTCATTTACGCGGAGAGCAGCTGGAGGTACAGACGCGCAGTGGCATTTTTTATTCACGCGGTCAATTCTCGACCATACGCGGGAAGCAGAGTGGATATGGATGCGCAGTATGTCGCTGTTGCGTTATCGCTGACGTTATATGACATATCGGACTGTGATTGGGTCACGCATCCTTACCTCCCTCCGCCGCTAGCTGTGAGTGGTCTAATGTAATATGACGTGGCCTGGCACGGGAGGGAAGCTACTGACCCAGCAGCGTCAGTCTCATTGTTCTCAGTCACCGCGTATACTGTTCTCTCTTGTGCTCGCTAATCTGTTCAACAATGGCATCCGCTGGACCCCCACCACCCCAGAAAAACCTTGCATTACCTGGATCCAGCCGCCCCAAGCCCAAGAAGATATGACGTGCCCTAAGTTATGAAGTTAAGTACAAGATCGTGCAAGATTTAGAGAAAGGAACGAGACAAGTTGATTTGGCGCGCCAGCATGGCGTGAACGAATCTACGATCCGGACGATCAAGAAGGATGCTGCCAAGATTAAAGAACACATGAGCATCACAAAGTCTGCAGGTGCTTCAATGGTGAAGTACTGTCAGAATAAGGTGCTGCTCAAGACTGAGAACTTACTGGTGAGCTACTTAATTCGTCAGGCAAGACGGAACATGGCGGTCGACATGCGGGCAGTGCAGGACTACGCTCGTGAACTGTACTCATCAGTGGCGCGCAAGATGGGAATTGCAGAGCCCAAACCCTTCACTGCTTCCTCTGAGTGGCTGCAAGGGTTTAAGAAAAGGAACAAGATTACCAACATTAACATTGTTGGTGAAGGAGCCAGTGCTGACCGTGCTGCCGCCATGGATTTTCCTCCATTCTTACGAGAAGTTATGGAGGAAGGACAGTACACCAATAACCAGGTGTTCAACATGGATGAATCCGGTCTGTTTTGGAAAAAATTACCTTCCAAGACCTTCGTTGTCCAGTCTGCCAGCAAGTGTCAGGGCCGGAAATTGCAGGAGCGCATCACCATCCAGTTTACCACCAATGCCTCTGGTACCTGTAAGCTCAAGTTGTCGGTGATCCACACAGCCCACAAGCCGCACGCCTACAAGAACATGGACATGACCAAGCTAAATGTCCACTGGCTAACCTCCCATAAGGTGTGGATGTTCACTGGTCTGTCCCTCTCCTGGTTTGATGACTGTTTCGTTCCAGACATGAAGAAATTCTGAGCGCAAAATAATGTGCCATTCAACATTTTGTTGCTGCCTGACAACGCACCAGGACACTCGCCCCTACTGTTGGATCGTCACCCCAGTGTAAAAGTGGTCTTCCTTCCTCCCAACACTACGTCGTTAATCCAGCCCATGGATCAGGAGTTGATATGCAACGTTAAGGCTGCATTCTCTGCAAAGAAATTTAAGCTCCTGAACGACTGTACCAACACCAAGGATGAGTTGCGTAACCTTCTGAGTGGCAAAGATAATGAGAGCGATGACAACGAGGATGCAGAACAAGAGTTGGCGGAGCATGAAGTGCGAGTTAAACAGTTTTGGAAAATGTTTAACGTAAAGAAAGCTGTTGATTTCTTGGTGGAGGCATGGGGGCAGCTGTCTGTGGCAACGATTCGTCACACGTGGCGGCATGTGTTGCAGAGTATCCCAGGTTGGAAGCAGAGTCAACCTGTGGCTGATGAGGTTCAGTCTGTTGCAGTGGCAGTGGACCTTGCAAGAGAAGCTGCACAGAGTGTTACAGCTGCAGGCTTCACCGAGACCACCAACGACGACATCATGGAGGTTATCAGGGATCCTGAGGTGACTGCCGACGAGATGTTGGAAGACGATGACATCATTGAGGGGGCAGGTGGTGCGGCAGCAAGAGAACAGAAGTTAACTCATGGTGATGTAAAGGATGCCATCGAGTTTGCCGAGAAACTAAAGCTCACCCTTTCAAAAGACCATGTCAATCACTGGTATGAAGTCTTCAATAACCTTCTAGACCAAAGTATGGAGCAGTACATACAGATGTATCACGACCACATCAACACTAGCCGTCAGCGTAGCATCACTGACTTCTTCGCCCGCAACCCACCACAGCCAGCCCAAGCCAGTGATAGTGACAGTGATGATGACTTTGAGGGGTTTGTCAGGGAGGCCCTGACAACTATGGTGGATAGTGATGGTGATTCACCTGAGGGCCAGTAATCTGCCCTCGGCCTCGGAATTAGCCACCATCCTCGTATGCCGACCCATCTCTTCTACTAACGTAAGTGTTAAACCTTGATTTTCTTTTACCTGGTACAGTATATTATTCTCTTATTGATATTTCTCTTTTATATTATGTGTGTGTACATACCATCATAAAATTAAGATACTATTTTTACTACAACGTACGTATTGTGTCGGAAAAAGTGGAGTTTGGGGGTCGGCCCAATTTCTATTTCAATTAATCCCATATGTTGTTATTTCATTTACGCGTTTCTGGTTTTACGCAGTACTCCACGGGTTCAATTGACCGCGTAAATGCAGACTATACTGTATATATATACAGTTCCTCCCCGACTTACGACCTACTTGACTTACGGCCTACTCGACTTACGACCACCCGCACTTACGACCTGCCTCAGTCGTACCAAAATTTTGTCAAATTACGTATTTTCGAGTTCTAACTTCAGTATACAGACAAAATTTTTGTTTGTAATTCACTTTAAAATGGTTGGCAAGCTTAAAAGTGAGAGTTTTGTGGTGCTGAGAAGAAAAAGAGACACCCATTTTAGATTTTCTATGTATTATTTAAGCATTTTCGACTTACGACCTGGATTTGGGTCCCTAACCTAATCGTAAGTTGGGGAGGAACTGTATTCGGTTACATGCACACACACTCTTACATACAAATTTTGCAAGAAAAAATAAAAGAAACAATTATCATGAGGTCAAAAACATTTTTTCAAGCGCAGAGTTAGCATGCTAAGCAGGAAGGGGAGTCAGTGGAGTGTGGGATCTCAGCTGAGCTGTCTCCTGAGTCCCATGTGTAGTGACACGATTGACAAATACTGTGCTTTGTTGTCCAGCAGCCAAAAGCAATGCAGTATTCTTTATTATTGGTATTTTTAATTATTCTTCACATTTACTGGTACAGTGTATATTATTTTCTTATTCCTCAGTTAAATATCTTATTCTTAAAACATTTTGATAATACCTACTACCATAATGTGAATCATCACAGCATTAGATAAATTGTGCCAGTAAGAAAAATATTAAAATTTTAGTTCCTTTATTAAAGTTTATTTATATGATAATAATATCCTTAGAAATTAACATTAATTGGGTATCGTTATAAAGGCATATACTGTACCAGCATTATCATACTGTACACATCCCACAGCACTGAGGGGAGGCAGTGTCCCAGCTTAGGACTGTACAGTACAGTACAGGTACTGAGACTTTGACAGTACTGTACTGTATGTACACTAAATTGTATGGTATTATATTTTATTTCTTTATGTTTTCATCATTGCTGTTTATATGCTTTCGGTATTGCTGTTTATATGCCAACAATTTTAAGTTTTGATATTACAGTGTACAGTTACAGCTACTTTTAGGGGTGAATCTAACAAAATTTACAAATAGGAGTTGGTAACTTGGCAGAAATTCAGTTTCAGAGTTGGTATCACTGTTCATAATGTCATCTGTTTGGTGGAGGTCATGACCAATATGCACTGGTGTGAAACTAGTGTCTTGCTAAACAATACATCCAAATAATCAGGGTAAAACTATATGAGAATGATTTATAGATGAGTATATACAATAGTTCAGTGATGAAGGCCACTAGTAACTTATGAAGGTGCACGGATTATTGTCTCTATCATATATTTGTATTTTTTTTTTTAAATTGGGTGAATTCTACTTGAATTTGTTATTGTTAGTACAGTATTACTGGGCAGGAAAAAATTTCAAAGCTGGATGTTTCAAAAAATGTTGAAGGTCACTGGTGTTCAAGTACAGTCATGCGCCGGTTAATGTCCTAGATACGTTCTTGGAAACGTGACGTTAACCGAAGTGGACATTGTCCGATCATCACAAACTTTGTCTTTATACTTACGTGTATGTGAAATACTATATACATACATATACACTCTTACTCTTAAATCACTACTGTAATGTGATACAGGTGATAAATTTTTATCTCTTGTGCAAAATACATGATGTTTATATTAAAATTATTCACTGTCTTACAAGGACTCCAGCAATGCTGGGCAGATGGGGGAGAGGGAGCGAGCGTGGGGAGGAGGGGAGCAGGAGTTGAGGTGGTACGTTGGATAGTTGGCACCGTCCCAAGGTCTAATGCATGTTTATTTGTCAATTCTTAAGTGACTAAGCTTCTCTCTTATAAAAAGCCAGTGAAATGACCTGGGTGAATATAATTTACATTGCTGGGATTCTTGTAAGATGGTGATTATTTTAAATATAAACGTGCTATAATTTGCACTAGACATAACAATTTTAGGACTGTAATCAAATTAGTACATGTGCACTCCAGCTTTGCACTAAGGTCATTTATTTCTTTTACGTTTCTTTTAATATGGTGTGTGCATGTAAATGGATGAAAATAAATGAAGAAATTTATGTAAATCTACCCAAAAATACAGTTGAAAAACTTTATATTATAAAATGTACACTAATGTACTACAATTTTTATCTCTTGAGCAAAATATATGACGTTTATATTCAAATGAAATCTCTTTCTTGCAAGGATTTCAGCAATGCAAATTATATTCTCCTATAGTCTGAGATATTATATGAAAAACTTAAGGCCTAAAACCCCCCACACTCCCTCGCGTAAGGGGGGGGGGGAGGTGAGCGGGAGGTGAGGCAATATGATTTGACAGTTGGCGCTGAAGGCCTGCGTGTTTATTTATCATTCCTTAAGAGTGACTAAGCTCTTCTCATAATTTGCCACCCAAACGACCTGGGTGAATATAACTTACATTGCTGGGATTCTTGTAAGATAAGTGATTTATTTGAATACCTGTATAAACAAGCTATATTTGCAATAGACATAACAATTTTAGTACCGTAATCATTTAGTACATGTACAGTACAGGTTTGCACTTAGGTCCATTGTTAACCGAGGGACCACTGTATTGCAGTGTACTTGTACTGTACAATATTGACTAAATTCACTTGATAACGTACACAACTAATGGTTGGTAAAACTTGTGAAGTAAGTTAGTGTCAAGTCTGTCAGTATGAGTGGCATGTGTGAGTGCTTGTGTCCCCCATCATAGGAGTCCGTTTTCTCTTGCTTCAGGACGCCTGAGTCCTCCGTTTTCTAGCTATATTAGAGTGCACCAGAGATTTCGTTATTCCTTAGTAATGACACAGAATTTGAAATTGCAACCCCAATTGCAACTGGGGTTGCAATTGTTGAGGCAACTAGATATGTCTGATTACAGCAAATGTGTTATTGTCAATTTGTAGGTGAAAGATTTTATCCTCAATAGATGTAGGTTAACATTACACCTGGAGGCAAATGGCTACTAAAGCCTAAGGAAGGAAAGGATATTCCTTTAACACATAATATCTGGCCAGTATGGGAAGGATCACCATGTCTCTGTCAGGGGGTCGTGGAGTGGTGGTCCAGCAGGCGTCACGGAAGTTATTTTTGGGGGGGGCACGGACTTAAATGCGATCGGACTTTGTTCGGTTGGACGTTAACCGGCGCATGACTGTACTAATAGTTAGTTACTTAAAGGAATTAATAGCTTAAATCAATACTGAACATTTGTTACACTTTAAAATATATTCGTAATATAGCAGCCACTCGCTTTTTTCCTTAATTACTGAGGACACCAACTTTTAAGATAAACTTATTAGTATTTGATTAAAGGGTAAGCAATAAAAATATTGTTTTAAAAGACTTGCATTTGACCAAAAAACAGTGTAATAATAACCTTAAGCTTGTGCTCCTTCCTGTTGATAATGACAGCTGTGATCTGCTGGTCCATGAACAGAAGAATACAGGCTAGTAGGGCTGGAACCAGAGCTACTATAGATGACCACCACGGGTTACCTGGAAACATGGAATAAATTTAGTATTTCTCTTCGATGAAAGGCATTAAAATGCAGAGCAAAGGCTTAGTCTTCAATGTTCTGTAGCCTCTTTGAGGCCCTCTTTTATTTTTATTTTATTTTTTAATACTGTCTTCTGTGATATCTTTATCAGTAGTATGCCTTGTTTTTATTATGATAATTATAATTTCATACCAATCACAAATACTTATCAACAGTTTGACTTAAATTTTATTATTTGCTTCGTCACAAAATATTGCCAATTAAACATCAGTTCCCTAATTTCTATACTTGGCAAGTGACCTTAGGCTTTGTAACCTCAAAATGGTACATTCACCTCTGTGAGTGGCAACAATAAAAGTCTGTTCTACATTTTTACATCCATTAGGCATTAGCAAATTACTTAGCCAAAATGTGCTTTCATCATCCAGTTTTCAATTTCATTCACCAGTTACTTTCACTATTTTGCATTGTATATTTTTTAAATTTCAAGAATATACTCTTATAATGTATATAATATTTTTGTAAATAAAGCCATTCCTTCATTCTTTATTTCTGAAATAAAATTTCTTAAATACAGTACTGTACCTGGCATATTTTAACATAAAAAGTATACAGCTAGAACTGATTTTCATGCATCCTCTTAAGAAAACTGTATAAACAGCAATGACAAACAAATGAATGACCTTGATGATGGTGCCTCACCGATCCATCCAAAACTGTATTACTGTACAGGTATACCTCTCTATACGTTACCTTGTTATATGTCGATTCATTTCTATGTTGTTGATGAAATAGGAGAAAAAATATTTCTACCCAAATTAAAAAAACAATCTACCAATTGCTGCCATATTCGATTGAGCTTGTTTTTTTAGAGCAAGTTAAAATCTTGTCAAAACCCTATAAAAAGGAATGGGAACACTGCAAGTTATATTTGTGCCTCTGGTAAATACAAAATTACTCTAGAGTGTGAACTACAGTACATATCCAGTATTAAGGCATTTGGATGTTGCCAAAGTGCTTGGTCTACCCAGATGAGAAAAATTGGTGAGAAAGGAGACAAAATAATTCATTGTAAAAGTGGACTTAAGGGAAATATGGAAAGGATTCTAAATATTATAAATGTCCATTTTTTTATGAAGAGGGAGGCAATTCTGCAGCTTTGTCTCAGTAACTCCACCACTACCCACCCCAACCAGCCTCTATATGCAGTCTCCCCAACTATCTCAGGTACATTTCATCTTATTGTCATATTTTATATCTAAATATTCATCATAACTCCTACTAATATCGTTAGGTGTATGGTAAACTTATGTTCACTAAATGTTGTTTCACTTAATGTTGCACTTTTCAGGAAAGCATGGAACAACGGATAACAAAGTATACCCGTACTAGATATACTGATAAAATTTAGGTTAACACATACACATTCATTCTGGGTGAAAATACTTCTTGGCTAAAACTGGCTGTGGGATCAAAAATCTACTGTTCTGAATTTGCAATGAATGCTTACCACTGAAGGGCGGGATAACCCATCCACGGCCTTCCCATGTAGGTTTGAATTGTCCGGGAACATCCAGTTTTGGTGTGTGAATACCAAGAGCGAAGTCCATTCCAGACATGGCAACAATAGCGATAATAACAGCAAAATCACTGATGAACTGACGAACCTGTAAATATTATTTTACATTTTACACGCTTTCTTTGAAACAAATTCTGAATTCAGTACATACAAACAATAATTTTTATACCTTAAAATTTCTATGTGTATTGATGTTTTCGTTATAATCTGTCTACAAAGATGGTAAAAAAAAAAAAGATTAAGGCAACATTAATAGTAAAATCAATACAACCTGAAATAGACAAAGTTTGTGGGTATACTGGCACCCAACACTTGTTCACATGCCAACACAAACTTGTTTTTCCTAGTTTAAGAGCTTCAGAATTATCTGACCTACCATTTAAAATTCACTATAACTAACATATTTTTTAATCTAATGAAAGCCACTTCTCACTATGTTACATTGTTGCCAGAATTAAAACAAAACAGACCCTCCCTGAAACACTGTTAGTCATTCAACTTCGATGTCTTAACAGCTTCTGCAAAAACAAAACCCTTAGATTCCAAACTGATTTATTTGTCATGCCAGAGTCATCTTTGATTTTGTAATAATAAGCTCACCTTAGATGGGAAGAATGTAGCAGTTTTGAAGTCCTTTAGGTAGATGGAGATAACGAAGGTACCAAAGAAGAGAATCAGACTGAGCAGGAACACATCAGCATAATAGTGTGCACATTCTGGTCCATCTCCCACCATTGTACCATTATATAACTGTAAGAAAATAAACACAAACCTCACACACTTTATATAAATCTACTGTTTGATTGATCAGTCCATCAAAATGTGAAGAGAGCAGAAAAGAACATTATACCATTCCTGTATAATTTCACAAAGCAAATTTATGATAAAAAATACACAACTACTAACTCGTGTACAGTCCTCCCCAGAGATGCTAGTCCAGTCAGTTGAGTTTGACATCTCCTCTGTTTCATTCAGTGGGACACACTCACAAAATTTCGGACCATCAACTAACGTCTCCATGGGATACTTGTGGCCAATCTTCAATACTTTCTCAACAGCCTGTATAAGAAAAATAAAGGATAAATTATGAGAATGGAATAATCATAATCAATATTTATTTCTGCAGGAATCCTGTGGTGTCATATTTAAAGTAGGGAATTAATAGAGCTTCCAAGAGGTGGAGTTACAAGGTTTTACTATAAAGTATATGTTTTCTAGTGATATTTTTGGATGGTCTTGCAATGTAACCCGAAATCTTTAACATAAGTATTGTGTTAATAACTGTCACAATTTATGCCTTTTGAGAGGAGTTTCATGACAAAACTTAGAGAAAGGTGCGGATTAAAAGAATAATTTTTATCCCTTGATTACCATAATGAATTGGGAGATGTTCCTTGGGGGGATTCAATATCATCACCACCACAGTTTTACGGCCATTTTCCATGGTTGTGTGGATTAGCCGTTATTACCTGATGACATGGTGTCCCAGCTGCCATCAGGTAAATTTGAAGGAAGTTTTATGGCTGGATGCCTTTCCTATTGCCACTATGAAATAAAATGACACTTTGCAACACAACCTAAATAACTGTATGCATAAAAATTAATAAAAGCAGAATATACATAGATACATCGGCAACAATTCAATGAAAAATGTAGCTTCAATTTGTTAAATAGTCATCATATTCAACTGAGATAGTCCTAAACTAAGCTCAAACGTTCTAAAGAGCCCTGGCCTTGATAGTGTCCATCCCAGAAGGTTTAGAAAGTTGTGCAACAATTTTGCATAGCCCCTTAAAATCCTTTTTTTTTTTGCAGATGCATATACAGTGATCCCTCGGTTAACGAAATTTCGGTTAACGAATTACCTTCCATAAGAATATTCAATTCGGTTAACGAATTCCTTACGAATTTTTCCCAGCATGTTTTCGCCTGCTTTCGTCTGCTCACCAGCTGTAGTATTAGTCCGCCAATAAAGTAATCGGTTTTAGGGCTTAAATTCGTTACCATTTGAGTAAATATCAAAAAGGTTGCACTATTCAATAATTTTCCAAGTCTTCTATTAACATTTTTAGTCATTTTAACAATTATTTAACATAATTGAAGTACAGGGAACTGGTTTTTAGTGCGCCAAACAGCCACTTGACTCACCCAGAATGGCGTCAGTTTGTGTCTCTGCTCAGTGGAGGAAGCACCTTGCTTGAGACTCTCTTGAACATAAACTATTTTTACGTTTTTACAGTATAATTATTGGTCATTCTGAAATTTATTTTACATATTGACAATATATAATGCAGTGCAGTGTTGATTTAAAGAAAATAATCTTGAATTACACCAAGTGAACTTAAAATTTTATGGGTGATATGTCAGCATGAAGCATGGGGTGACTTCACTTCCACCCCACTGCCTTCTCTTCTCCCTTCTCCTCCACCCCCACTTCTAATTCCCATTATCATCATCAACCAGGAGCCTTCTACATGCACACCTCAAAGTAAGTGTACTTTACTGCAATTATTTTTAGTTTGTATGTAACTTTCAGTGAGCTGGAACCAATTACAGTACCCAAAATCCCATTGAAACAATGGTTTCGGTTAACGAACGACCTTCTGGAACGAATTGTGTTCGTTAACCGAGGGACCACTGTACAATAGGGTCGGGATATATAGCAATTTCTTATAACTATTTTTTTAAAATCGCGACTACCAAAATTATCAACATTTTCCAATATACACGTACAGTCTCTCCCCGACTTATGACGGGGTCAGGGACCCAAATCCAGGTCGTAAGTCGAAAATGCGAAAATAATACATAGAAAATCTAAAATGGGTGTCTCTTTTTCTTCTCAGCACCACAAAACTTTCACTTTTAAGCTTGCCAACCATTTTAAAGGGAATTACAAAATTTTTTTTGTCAGTACACAGCGCAATCACTAATGTCGGGACTCGAAAATACGTAACTTGAAATTTTTTGGGTAAGACTGGGGCGGTCGTTTGTCCGGGTGGTCGTAAGTCGAGTAGGTCGTAAGTTGAGGAGTAGCTGTATAGCGATAAATTTATTTATTTCACGAGGGAAATCGGGCAGAAAATATTTCAAATGTACCGCCATGACAAACAAATGTGTTATTTGCTCACCAGAGGCGCCACCGTGGCTGCTCACCCACGCATTCACGCTTGCCCGCTCAGTCTTTCTGAGCGAGTGACTAGTAAGCAGCCGACTCTCCTGCAGACTAAGATTTCTAAGGTGAGTGTAAATGGGATGCTAGTGACGTGAAAAGTGAAGAGAAGAGAATGGAAAAAATTTAATACAGTACTGTAACTAACATTTTTGGTTTGTTCGTTTATATAGGTGAGGGATTGTCAAGTGAGAGTGGCAGTGTGGTGTCTGCTGCCGAGCTGCTGAGTCTGGTGCAGATTCCAATTTCTAAAGCGAGTGTAAATGGGTTGCTAGTGACTTGAAAAGTGAAGTGAAGAGAATGGAAAGCTTAATGGAAAAGATTTAATATTGTAACTAATATTTTTGGTTTGTTCGTTTATGTACTGTAGGTGTGGGATTGTCAAGTGAGGGTGGCAGTGTGGCGTCTGCTGCCGAGTCTGGTGTTCCCGGGATGGTGAGTCAGCTGCCGAATCTGGTGTTCCTTGATATTGAGATGGAAACAGCCTGTTGTTCCCGAGTCTAGTGTTCATTGGTGCTTAGTTAGTAAGAAAATAAACTCATTAAGTCAAGTTTAGTCACTTTTGTTGGCCTTCAGAACCTAACCCTATTTTCCCCACTGATTACATGTACAGGTACTCCCGACTTACAACCTACTCGACCTACGTCCACCCGCACTTACGACCTACTCTGACCGTAACGACCGTCCGCACATACGACCGCGCAGTCGGGACCAAATTTTTTTCAAATGACGCGTGCGTTTTCTATGCCGAAACGTTTCCGTCCTGGACGAGACCGTGGCTTGGGTCACCGCGTGGGTACAGCTCCCACTCAGTAGAGCACTTATTTGTTGTTTGGCTGTCGTATCCTATACTGATCGCGCTGTGTACTTACGTTATCGTATTTAATTGACTTTATAATGACTGGAAAGCATACAAGTGAGAGTGCTGGTGGTGCTCAGAAGAAAAGGAGACAGTCAATTACTTTTGAGATGAAAATAAGATAATAATGCAGTATGAGAATGGAAAAACTGTAGCAACAATTTCATGCAACCTAGGCTTCTCGCACTCAATCATATCCACTATTCTGAAGGACAAGGAACGTATTCATGATGTAGTGAAAGGATCAACACCTATAAAGGGAACTATAATTACGAAGAAAAGACAAGGTCCCATTCACGATATGGAAAAATTATTGGTGATATGGATAGAAGACCAAATACAGAAGCGTGTACCCTTAAGCCTTCTAACCTTACAGGCTAAGGCAAGAAGACTGTTCCAAAGCCTGAAGGAGCAGGCAGGAGATGAGTGCGAACAAACCTTCACAGCAAGTCATGGGTGGTTTAACAGATTTAAGAACCGCTACAGTTTACATTATGTTTAGGTGAGTGGAGAGGCAGCTAGTGCTGATGCTGGTGCTGCCGAAGCTTTTAAGGAGGAGCTAGATCGTGTGATTGTGGAAGGAAATTATTTGCCAGAGCAAATATTCAATGTGGATGAAACTGGATTATTGTGGAAGCGCATGCCTGAGTGGACATACATCCACAAAGAGGCGAAAACAATGCCAGGATTCAAGGCATTCAAGGACAGAATTACACTTCTGTTGGGGGGAATGTTGCTGGTTTCAAGATAAAGCCCTTCATGATCTATCATTCAGAGAACCCTAGGGCTTTTAAACATGTCAGCAAGCACACACTGCCAGTGTTTTATCGCAGTAACAAGAGAGCCTGGATGATTATTGTACTGTTTGAGGATTGGTTCTTGAATTGTTTCATTCCTCGAGCCAAGGAGTATTGTCTGCAACAACGGATTCCATTCAAGATTTTGCTGATTTTAGATAATGCTCCGGGACACCCACCACACCTGGACGACATGCACCCTGATGTTAAGGTAGTGTACATTCCACCTAACACTACCTCTGTCATCCAACCCATGGATCAAGGTGCTATTGCTACCTTTAAAGCAAATTATTTACGTACGACCTTCGCTCAGGCTGTTGCTGCTACTGAAGGTGAGAAAACGCTCAGAGAGTTTTGGAAGGAGTACAACGTCTTGTCATGTATAAAGAACATTATTGCAGCATGGGATCAGGTTACAAAACAGTGCATGAATGGAATATGGAAGAAAACACTGAAAAGATATGTGAACAGTTTCAGAGGATTTAATGAAAATTAAGTTATTTCTGAGATTAGTAGTAACAAGATAGTGGAGTTAAGTAAACAGCTTCAGTTAGAAATTGATAATGAAGATGTTGAACAGTTGGTTGAAAGTGTAGTAGAAGAGCTAAGTAATGAAGATCTTATAGAACTGGAAGCACACAAAAATGCAGAGGAAGAAGCGAGTCTAAATGTAGAAGAAGGACCTGCACCCCCCCAAAAAATTTTCAGTGAAGCAAATGGCAGAGGCATTTGCTACAATTAATAAGGGGATGCAAATGTTTGATGGAATGGATCAAAATTATGAGCATTTTGCAAAAGTTGACAGAATAGTCCAAGATGCACTTGTTTGCTACAGGGAAATTTACAACGAAAAGTAAAAGCAATTGGACATCTATTTTAAGAAGTCCCCCATTGCTGTCTCCTCACGCCCCACCAGTGCTGCCTCTTCACTCCCTAAAGATGATCCAATACCTTCAACCAGCAAGTTTACCCTGTAAATAAACCAGTCTGAAGAAAGTGACATTGATGACCCACCCAGCCCTGTCTCCTCCTCTGCTTCATCCATTTAATATAGTCTCCATGTATCCTGTAAATAGAAAATTATGGGGGCCCCGTGTGCATTCAGCTGATTACATTAAAGGTAAGTTCTCAGTCACACTGTATCCATTCCTCATTATTTATTACTTTTACTGTACTGTATTTCATTGTAGATTTTTTTTTTACGTCTGACTTACGACCATTCCGACTTACGACCTGGATTTGGGTCCCCAACCCCGTCGTAAGTCGGGGAGTACCTTTAATTATATATCGCAATTTAGTATATAGCGAACATCGTTGGATCCTATCTCGCGATATATCCCGACCCTACTGTACACCGTATGCACAATAGGTTCCCAGTGACTGGAAAATGGTAGATGTGAGTCTTACTGTATATGTAAACAGGGCAATCACCAGTGCACAAACAATTACAGGTTATCAATACCAATCATACTTTTCCCAGCCTCAATGCTCATTTCAATTGCTGGTCACTTTACTGATATCTCTACATAGGGTAAATTGCTTGCAAATGCAAGAAATTTCTGGAGAGTCCTGTCAGAGCATTGAGCTGGATACAGAAGATTCGTCTGGCTTATAAAATACTCTTTTTATAATATTATGATGCCTGACAATCTGATTGGAACATATGTATCCATCATTCTCTTTATAAATTAAAATGGGTACGTACATGAGGACTAAATTCTAGTACAAATTCACTAGTATTGCTTTAGTGATGAATATAACAAGATTAACAACAGAATCTTACCTTGTATATAAAAATGAAAGCAATCAAGGTAGCAAAGTTTTCCTCTGTGAAACGAGTAATATAGCACACCATTGCTGAGGCATCTATAGCCACTAGGATGAGCAGAATGAGCCCAGCCCATAGACCAATCCACAAGCGGAATGAGAGGTAATCCCACTCTATTGTTCTGAAAGGACAAGTTTGCGATCAATACAAATACTGTACACAGTACAGTGCCTGTAACACTTGACAAGAATGAAAAATTCTATAAAAGTTAGTTAAAAATAGGTAAATCACTTAATCATGTTGTAATTACTTATACTATATGAGGAGCCGAGTGCGACAAGGGGTCAAGAGCTAAAAATCACAATCAAGAAAAACGCTCTTAAAGTTTAGAAAAATTCAAAATGACGTAACTTTTGAACCAAAGAAGATATTGAGCTCATTAGTGGCAGAGTGTAGAGCTCTTAAAGCTGGTTTTGCAGATACTAAAGTCATATAAAATGAAAGGATTGTTTATAGTAAAAATTACATTGTTTTTGATGGGTAGTGTTTGCAATTTCATTAATATGCATTGTTGAGGTATAATTTTCATTACATGAAGCAATAATTAATGTATTTAGACCACACCAGAAGGTCAAAGGTCATCAATGGCCCTCACTCCCTCCTTTCTGCCAATTGAAAAAAAAAAAGCTCAAGTTTTATTACATAGCAATCTTATGACTTTTTTGTAGAAACATGGACTCCCATTAGCCAAGAAACCAGAAAATAGTGAGTTGCTATGAGCGAGAAAGAGTACGATTGGGGACAGCAGGCACTTGTCCTTCTTACCCCACCTCTTGGCACAGATCATGTGCTGTAGAGATGCTTTTACCTACCTTCACTAATATGGCTCTCAGCCTTACAAATATTGTGCTACTGGGGCAGTTTGTTTTTCTGAAGATAGAGGAAAGGTTGGGGAGTACAGATAATACTATAACTCAATTTTGGGGGAATGGCGCTTGGCTCCTTGTCGCCTCATATTATATATGATGTTCTTCCTATGTTGATATTCTCATAAGTGGCAATAATATAGTGAAATAAAATAAAAGTTACTTACTTGCAGAAGTCATATAAAATTGTTTCAAATACCAAAACAGGTCCTGTTGAACCCAAGATAGTTAGAGGTTGGCCAGAGAAAAATCCATATGCCACTCCACAAATCAAGCCAGCAACAAGGGACTCCAAAGCAGCGATGCGATTTTCTGTGGCCTCCCCAAGAAGACCTCCAAAGGTAATGATGGGAGTTAGGCAAGCAAAGTAGATGAAAATGAAGGAGGCTATGGACTGTATGGAGAAACCATCCTTAAAATCACTCAGGTACCATGGTTTTTTTCGTTTAATGTCATTCAAAAAGCCGCCAAATAATCGTCCAGTGCGAGTGAGACCAGCATCCTCTCGCATCTTTCGCTCCTCCTCTTCCTCGTCTATCACTACTATTGGTTCAGTCTTCTTATGTTTACGAGTGTGTTGAGACGGAATGGCAGCAGGAGGTTCAATCCTAAGAAAGAGAATTACAGGTATTGCATATTAAATGGTCAAACCTAGTAAACTACACAGACACACGTGCACATGCATGCACACGCACATGCATACACACACACAAACACAATATTAACTCTCTATACCGAAATAATAGGCGAGTAGCCAGTTCGGTATAGGGAGTGTTTCGGTACACTGTACTGTACAGGCAATCAGAATAAATTGTACAACACAAACCATAACACACATTTCCAGCCAGTTGTGGCCTGTGAGATGCTATGCATGTTGCCAATATTACAGTGATCCCTCGGTTAACGAGCGCCTCGGTTAACGAGTTACCTTCCATAAGATTCTTGACTTCGGTTAACGAGCAATCCCTCGATTAACGAGTTTTTTTTACGAGACGACCTCAACATGTTTTCGCTTGCATTTGGCGGCCCACCAGCTGTAGTATTAGTCCGCCAATACAGTAATCGGTTCTAGGGCTTAAATTCCTTACTATTTTAGTAAATATCAAGAAGTTTATACTATTCAATAATTTTTAAAGTTTTATATTAAATCTTTTAGTCATTTTAACAATTATTGAACATAATTGAAGTACAGTATAGGAAGCTAGTTTTTTGCGCACTAAACACCCTGTCAACACACCATACAGGCGTCAGTCTCTGTGTCTTTTCAGTGGAGGTAACATCTTGCTTCAGATTCTCCAACTAAATGCTTTTTGCTGTTTCCAAGCAAATTAATGGTCATTTTGAAATTTATTTTACATATTGACAATATATAATGCAGTGCTGTGTTAATTTAAAGAAAATATTCTTTATTTACAGCTATTAAACTTAAAATATCACGTGTTGAGATTGTTTGAATGCAGCATGGGTCCCAAGAGATCAAGAAAAACGATTTCAATCCAAGTTAAGCAGGAAATTATAAAAAAAAACAAGAAGAAGGCATTAGAACAAATGTGCTATGCAAAGAATATGGCATGTCGACATCAACTGTGTCGACAATTCTTGCACAGAAAGAAAAATTTAAAGAAGTGAAAGTGAGAGATAAATCTACCAGAGTGTTTAAAAGTAGATCCCTAATTGCAGAAACAGAGAGGTTACTTCTCATCTGGATTAGGGAAAAACAGATGATAGGTGATTCAGTTTCTACTGAATTTATTTGTGAAAGAGCCAGGGAGATTTACGAACATTTAAAGACAGATCAACCTGGTTCTTCAGGCACAGAATTTAAAGATTTTAGGGCCAGCAAAGGCTGGTTCGAAAAATTTAAGAAAAGAAGTGACATATTCAGTGTAGTTAGGCATGGTGAGGCTGCTAGTGCTGATAAGGAAGGGGCAGCAAAGTTTTTAGTGGAGTTTAAAGAACTGATGGATGAAGAAAATTATCTTCCACAGCAAGTGTTCAATGTGGACGAAACTGGGCTGTTTTGGAAAAAGATGCCCAAAAGAACATTCATCACCAGAGATGAAGCCTCTTTACCTGGGCATAAGCCCATGAAAGACCGTCTCACTCTATTGCTTGGTGCCAATGCTTCAGGGGATTTCCGACTGAAGCCTATGCTTGTCTACCACTCTGAGAACCCCAGGGTGTTCAAGCAACGGAAAGTGGTAAGAGGAAAGCTTGAAATTTATTGGAAGTCCAACCGTAAGGCATGGGTGACAAGACAGCTCTTTAATGAATGGGCTGTTGAGGTGTTTTGCCCTTCTGTGAAGAGCTACCTAACCACCAATAAACTCCCTTTAAAGGCTCTTCTCCTCATGGATAATGCACCTGGTCATGACCCTCAACTTGCCAGAACTTTGGAGTCTCAATTTGACTTTGTGAAAGCGTTGTTTTTGCCTCCCAACACTACATCAATCATACAGCCAATGGACCAGAATGTGATCAGCAACTTCAAGAAGTTGTACATGAAGAAAATGTTCAGGAGGTGTCATCAGGCAACTTCCACTGATCCTGAATTAACACTGGCACAGTTCTGGATGACACAGTTTAACATCCTGGAGGCTGTAAAATTGATTGTGTCCTCATGGCAAGAAGTCTCCACTAGATCCTTCAATTCTTCATGAAAAGCACTGTGGCCATCAGTAGTCCATGATTTTGAGGGATTTGAGGAAGAAGCAGAGTTGCACCAGGAGATTGTGTCCATTGGTCAGTCATTTGGTCTTGAAGTGGAGGAAGATGATGTGGAAGAGCTTGTGATGTCTCATGAGCAGGAACTTACTCCTGAAGACTTGAAGCAACTAGATGAGATGTTAGAGGCTGACAATGGTGAGGAGGAAAAGAAAGTGATGACCATATGTCAACTTCAGAGTTGAAAGATGTTATTTACCACTGGGAGAAGTTCAGGAAACTGGTTTCAAGGCACCCAGATGTGGAAAAATCTGAACTAACTTTGTGTCATGTTGAGGACACAGTGGTCTTCATCTTTAAACATGAGTTAATGATGAGGAGAGATGCCCCACAGACCAAAATTGACACTTTCTTTAGTAAAAGGCAGAGGGAACAAGATGCTAGCCCTCAGCCTTCCACTTCAAGATGGAGAGAGAATGTTCATGGTGGAGAATCTGTCAGTCCAGAGGTTCCTGACATTTTCATGGAAGGTGACTCACCTTCCAAGAAGCAGTAAAATGCTTCTCCTCCACCTCCACTTCCTTCTCTTCTCCCTTCTCCTCCTGTATCTCCCACTTCAAATTCACATCAGCATCATCATCCGGGACCCTTCCACATACACACCTCAAAGTAAGTGTACTTTACTACCTTTTTTGTTGAATTTAGGCAATTTTTGGTGAGCTGGAACCAATTACCCAAAAAACCCATTGAAACAATGGTTTCGGTTAACGAGTTTTTCGGTTAACGAGCAACCTTCTGGAACAAATTGTGCTCGTTAACCGAGGGACCACTGTACTTGTAATGAAACTATAAAAAATTTTGAAAATCATTTCAATACTGTACTCTATTGTGATGCATAAAGAAAATATAATACTGTATAAGGTTATAATATAAGAAAAATGAAGAGCATTGTGTTTATCCTGTGTGGGAGGTTGACGTATGTGTGGAGTCAGTAGGCGGTTTGTCAATAATGCGTCTGGCAACTTACCTAGTTAGGCTTATTTCAGTTTAATTAGGTGCATCTTGCATGCACCCTTTTTGTATATTTACTTTATCCTCTTTGCCTATGACTGTAAAGTTATATTTAATTAAATTTAAGCTTAACTTAAAATTTTTATTTTCTCTTATAACACCTGTATGAGTTGTTCCTGCACCTGCATGTTTCAATAAATAAGGTTTTAAAGGTTTAATGAATAAAAATAAAATAAAGACAGTTGATACACTGATGAAAAACACATATCTACCCGAAATTATGAATTAAAAAATAACCAAACATAGTTCACATCGGGATGTTTTTATTGTGATGAGTCTAACTTGGCAACAATGCCACCAGACGCAAATGAAAAAAACATTATCTATAAATCTTCATTTGCATCAGGTGTTTGCAGATTTAAAGTGGTATATATAGTGAAAGAGGTTCTGTTCTTCATGCAGCAACATAAAGAAAGAATCTAGGGGTATGGTAGTCATTCCCAAGATAGAGGAACTTACTACAATGGATAACCAACCATGAGCATGTATCAGGTAGCTATCACCACAGTAAATGACCCATGAAAATGCAAGAATGTTATTACCGTACATATCCAGAACTTATGATTACCTACTGTAATTCAGTACAGTATATACTGTATTTAACAATACCTACATTAAATGCACAAAATATTATTGTATTAATCCGTCTAACAGCCAGTAATGATGTTGGTCACACTGGAATAACCTGTTATAGTATCATCCTTCTTTCCTCACACAGCCAAACTGTGGAATGCTCTGCCTTCTTCTGTGTTTACATGCCCCTACAATGTCTCACTTCAAAAAGCTGGTTTTCCAGCATTTTTGGGGTGCAGATTAATATAATCTTTTTCTTTTCTATTTTTACTATTTTTCTGCCCCCCACCCCCCCTCCCGCCCTGTTGTGGGCCGATGACCTGTTTTTTTTACTAAAGTTTTTTTTTCTACTAAAGAATTTTTTTATTTTTACTACTCAAGTAATTTTTGTATACTGTCATCAGGTGAGTGAAGATTTTATTCCAGAAATAGTTTGAGCCACCAGCCCCTAAACTTGTTCTTTAAAACACACCTGATTGCTGGATCCCATTCTCCTGGTGGCAGGACAGTCACTGCATCTAGGAATTCATCCACACCAGCTAGGAGATGACTTCTATTTTTTGCCTTGTACGCTACATCATGAAACACTTCATCACTGAGAAGGGTGGCCATGGCACGACCAATTTCGTGGTATCTTGGGAGACCACCCTGTGGGTAGATTTATTTTTATGAAATAAATGTCATTCATTTTTTTAATGAAAAATATATTGTTTTTCTGCATCACAGAGCTAATTTCTGGAGTAATAAATTACAATGGGGTAATGTGAACAAAATGCACTAGATAATAAAACTATCAAAAATGGTAGAAAAATACAGGGAATCCACATTGAAATGAAACAACATTCTCATGTATAAATGTGCAAATGCTGAAACTTGCACAGTTACCACACCATACAGTATATCAAGGTTTGAGTGTTATGAGTGGCTGAACTGAAGTCACCTACCCTGGTGCAACGACAATTCCGGACACCATTGGGCAAGAAACCACCGACCCGAACAGACCTGTATGCACGGTTGAAGCAATATGAGGAGACTGGAGAGAAACACAGAACATCGGAGATTGCCAGACCTAACCCCGCTTGATTTTTTCTTTGGGGTTGTGTAAAGTCCAAAGTGTACTCCACAAAGGTGCGGGACATTGTTCCGCTGAAAGAGCGCATCAAAGTGGTGGTGGCATCCATAACCCCAAAGACGTTAAAAATATGTGTGGAGGGAAGTTGATTACCATTGTGACTTAATCCGTGCTACGAATGGTGCACATTGAATGTCTACCCTAATGTACCCTACTGTACCCGAATGATATGTACCTACACATCAAATGAAACTCAAGCATTTGGACTAAGAGCTGTGTGAATATTCCTGTCTTTATTATTCAATAAAAAATTATAAGGCTGTACAGTATTAGCCTCTGTCACATATTGACAGTAGTACAGTACAGTATTATATAAACATGGGCAGATATTAATTTTATTCATTCTATCACCCAGAGTAATGATTTATTTAAGCTAGAATAAGCATTTGTTTATATCACACCATTTTGACTTGACAGCCCATTAACTTTCACACCCAGCCCTCGGTGTGAGTCAGCCATTTCGTTAATAGCGTTTTAAAGTGAGGTTACCCTCCAACCACTAGTTCATAGCCCAACACGATGCCCTAAAGACGTGTCCCGAGACAAGCTCTCTGGGCTATATCTCTCTTATTCTCTCAGCTAATTACAAGCTAATAGCCAATGCTCATTAGTCTGACAATATAAAATAATTGTACAGATATTAATTCCCCAATATAAACTAAAAAATTACCACGTGTGTTTATATTAAACCAAGGAACAACTAATGAACAGAAAACTACAAATGTGTCTTGTGTAACTTACAAGCTAAGATAACTACTAGCACAACAGTGGGCAGCTGTGACAATTCCAATTACCAACCAATCTACAACTGTATCAAAGGTGACAAGCCCTGGGATTACCTAACATCTCACTAAGTTGCATCAAAGGTACCAGCGATGGAACAGCAGTTAGTTCAAACAAGGCTTTAAAGTGGTCTCAATTCAATGTGGACACCCTGTATTTATTTCTTTTCACTCCTTCCTTCATTTATCTGCATAAAGTTTGTATATTGACCTAATTTATAATTTTTTATAACTTTAATTACAAAGCTACAACTAAGAGCCGAGTTATGCATAATTATTAAATAAAAAAACTTGGCTAACACAAAACATATATGCTTACCATGGGACCTAATATGATGTACAGGAAGCGGGTGGAGCGGGCACCTCTGTCAAGTCCCCAAGATTGGCACTTTGGGATAAACGGACAAAAGCTGTGGCGGGCTTTTCCAAGAAGGGCACTTCTCCTACGAGGATATTGGAGGCTTCCGCACCGGCAGGAATCTTCCTCATGAAGTGAGTGTTCCCCTACATGGTGACCAGATACAATAATAAAAATATTTAGAAATGCTCATTTAAGTTGGAAAGAATTAAGGTCAATAATAATGTGAAACTTGGCTTTTAAATTATTGTACATGAACAATAAACCGGAGTGTTTTGTCTAATCCTAAACTTTGCAAGTGTGAAGAACAATATGAAATGATACCTGACACACACACAACACTTGATTCCATTTTGAAATTCCATATCCATGATCTCATGAAACTGACTTACATTATAATAATAATAATAATAGTATTAATTATAAATTTTTTACACAGGTTCAGACAGAATTATGGAATGTAAGGTTGAGAGGAGTGTATGTTCAGTATAAGCAGTATGGTTGACAGGGGTGTAAGTTTTATAGCACAAATGGACATTCCCTAAACTGCCAGGAACATTTTGTGGAGACATCTTATTGGATGGCATATTATAACTTAAGAACCTATAGAGTTACAGATTGTACCGCGTAATTGCAAATAAATGACCACGCACCTTGTGTTCATGACCATTTCCATCAAGGTTACTTCCGCTGTGGTTGCGTGTAATAGAGCCGGAAGAAGGGGACTGCTCCATCGCTCCATCAGGGTGGGATGTAACACTCGCACTGTTTCCGCCTGAAAAGGACAAGGCTTTGAAGAAGCCTGACCCCGAGTCCGGACATAAAAGTCACCAGACAAGGGAAAAAAAGAGAAGAAAAAAAAACAGCCAATTAGCAAATTAAGCCAAAAAAACACCAAATTCTGGGTTAGTGTGCTAAGCAACACAAATGGCCTGTTTAGATAAAAGCTCTAAGAGATAATTTGCTTTATACAGTATACTGTATATATATATATATATGATCATAGATATATGCCTACTTATTATGAGGGACCACAGTAGTCACACAAGAGAAGTTTAATAGTAAGGTCAGCCATTTATGTATGGTCACCACACTCAGACAATAATAGCCAAAGAGGGTAAGAATACTGGTAAATGCAGGTTATATACTGTATGTATATACATTACAAATGGCAACAAAGGTTTAGGAAAAAAAAAGTTTTGCCAAAAAAGGTTGAGGAATTATATATATATATATATATATATATATATATATATATATATATATATATATATATATATATATATATATATATATATATATATATATATATATATATATATATTATACATATACATATACATATACATATACATATATATACATATATATATACATATATATATATACATATACATATACATATACATATATATATATATACATATACATATATATATATATACATATACATATATATATATATACATATACATACATATACATATACATACACCGTATACTGATCTATAACCCCCCTCGTTTATCGTCATTCAAATTTTGGACCAGAAATGCGTTAATTCGATATTCCTGTTTATAGTTCGTCCCGTTTGAGGATATTGGAACACAAAACCTTCACTAAAAACGCTCTGTCCTATAAACTGAGGCTCTGCGTGCATGAAACACGAGTGCGAAGGCAAGTTGTTTACCATTTATTATTGCGACACTTTACATTGAAAGCGGGTAGTTTCAACAAAAATATTGTATTTCCATTCAAGTATTTATTCAAGTCAATTAGGAGGGAATATTATTGTACAACAGTTTTTTAACTAAACCATTCGAAAGCGATTACGGTAACATCTTTTGAACAAAAAGCGAAAGTCATTGTTTTACATCGATTTTATCCCACTTTCACTTTATCATTACATAATTTCCCAAAAATATTACATTTCCGTGAATGTATTATATCAAGCACAGCATGAATAAATATCATTGTAATATAACAGAATTTTAGCGAAACTATTAAAAAACGGTAACATCTCAAGAACAGAAGCTTGAGTAAAAGTCTTTGTTTTTGTCATATATTTTATCCTATTTTACATTGAAATACATCACGTTTCCTAAAACTACTTTAAGTTCCGAGAATATATTCATTCAGGCGCAGTTTAGGTAAAATATCGTGATGTAATAGTTTTTTAACTGAAAACGATTCGAAAAACACGTACCCTCTAGCCCTGTTCAAGGAAGGACTGGGAGAAGCTGTTTGGTGCTGCAGACAATGACAAGGAAAATGATTTTGAAGGATTTTAATGAAAATATTCAGAAATATGGTATCGGTAGTATTTATTCAAGTCAATTAGGATAGAATATTATAATAATACAACAGTTTTTTAACTGAAAACCATTCGGCGATTACGGTAACATCTTTTGAACGAAAGAAAGCGAAAGTCATTGTTTTGTCAGATTTTATCCACTTTCCACTATCGTACGTCATTTCCAAAAATATTACATTTCCGTGAATGCATTATATCAAACAGTATGAATAGAATACCATTGTAATATAACAATATTTTAACCAACTATTAAAAAAACAGTAACTTCTCTTGAACATCGGAAGGTTAGGTAAAATCTTTTGTTTCGTCATGTATTTTTATTTTACATTAAAATATATCACGTTTCAGCAAAACTACTATTTATTTCGAGAATATATTCATTCAGGCACATTTAAGGTAAAATATACATGTGATGTAACAGTTTTTTAACTGAAAATGATTCGAAAAACACGTGTACCATCTAGCTGATACAGCTGGTGGTACGTCATCGTCGTTAACAATAGGAGGTTTAGTAGATTACGGGTATTATATTGTGTGAAATATCGAAAGGTTTTTATTACTGGTATTTTTGTAGATCAATGAGAGCTGTGATACATTATATGATATGATAAGTTAGCCTGTGCTAAGAACTTCAACATAGACTACTGAAAGCATGCTGTAAGGTAATTTAGCCTATTGTAAGTTGGTGAGCTTCATTTACTAGAGGACTGCACAACTTTCATTACTAATTATTTTATATTTTTACGTTTCCATTGTTTACTGGCAGTAAATAGTAAAATATTTTCATGTCTGAAGCTAAAAGTTGCTCCTCGCCCTTCCCATCATACGGGTTCAACCTAACAAAACTAATACACATGTATGGGACAACCCCAATTTCTTGCCTAAAAATTTGGTCTTAAAACTAAACTATACACAGTATAGACGGTATGTATGCAAAAAATATATATATATATATATATATATATATATATATATATATATATATATATATATATATATATATATATATATATATATATATATATATATATATATATATATATATATATATATATATATATATATATATATATATATATATATATATATATATATATATATATATATAATTTCTGGAGAAAATAAAAGATATGGTTACATCATACATCATGCCAACATTAAAAGCGTCCAAAAACTGTTTCTTTTCATCAAACAAAAAAGCCTAAAGAGGAAAACTGTGATAAAATTCTCCTCCTTCCCTGATGAAGAAAAAATGCAAACTCAAACAAAAAGTATAAACACACTAATGTATACATCCACATATACATGGATATACTGTACAGATACATGCATATGGGAAGCGAGAAGCTGAGAGAGAGAGAGAGAGAAGGGGGGGAAGAGAAAAAAGAGAAGAGAGAAGAGGAGAGGGAGAAGAGAGAAGAGGAGAGGGAGAAGAGAGGAGAGGACAGAAAAGAGGAGAGGAGAGAAGAAAGGAGGGAGAGGGAGACAGAGAAGAGAAGGAAAGAGATGAGAAAAAAAGGAGAGGAGAGAAGAGACTACAACCAACTGTTACTCGATAGCCACTATAGACATGTGGAGAGGTATTAATAGTAAATACATGTTATCATGCAGTGTAAAAACTCTAAAAGCTTTTAGGAAGAAGCCCTTCAGATATTAGTTTGTGCACATTCCCACTTTCTGTTGTAAAACAGAAATGAATCCCATTTTCTGTTGCAGAGAAAACAGGAAGTTGGAGCATATTTTTGCCAAAAAGTTAAAATGAGCACAATCACCATCACTGAGTACTTTTCATAAAATTATTGGGGAGATATGGTGCAGTAAGGTATTCCTTGACCTAAATAACTGTGCAAATCAAATTAAGAAGCTTGAGCGCAACAAAGTCGTCCATGCAGATAGTGCAGGCAACTACACAATTTTTGACACAAGAATAATTACATGGGTGACAATTTTTAAGATGACTTTCCATTAATCTAAAGATCAGGTAGAAATATACACTAAACCAATTGCTCAATAACTATGTAAATCAATTATAAAAAAATACAGTAAAAAGATAAAATTTGAATACATTAAACAATCTTTTGGCAACAAATGGGAATAATAGGCCAAGAAATATGTCACAGAAATTTTGATTCTAAAATACAATTTCCATATAAAAGTGATTTTCTTCTTCTGTGTAGTAAAACCAACTTTTATCAATACTTTTAACATAAGGTCAAAATTGCTGGTCTCATCACAAATGTCTCCCGGATAATTTTCAGAAAAGTGGTTGGGTTGTTACCCTTAGTACTTCCACCACCACCACCACTAACAACACCACCACCACCACCACAACCATGACCACCACCGGTCCCCGGCACGTTCAAGAAGTGTCCAAATTTAGGTTCATCAAGAGCTGTTGTATGTGTGCGTGCAGGCTTGTAGAAGCCCGCCTCCTCCACTGTCAGGGAAAATTGATGATCAGAACAGAAAATGGAGACAGGCAGCAGAGAAATGAAGATTCACAATCATGAGAAAATAGAGAAATCAACAGAAAATTATGAGGTGAGTAAAGAGTCACAGTGAAAAGATATATTGTGCTGAGTTGGCAATGACACAGAAGAATAGAACCAGGAAGAAAGTGGATAAAATATTGTGTCCACACCAAGTAGTAATGTAGAAATATGGCAGAGATGCATTCTGTAAGAGGTTTATTTTGGTGATTAGTTGTACAGTACTTTGTAAGCATATTATCATTTTGTGGAGAAATGGAGATACAATCCTGAAACCCTATTTCCTAGCTAAGCCCAAACCCAGGTGGCTTCAGTTAATGTAACAAACAATTTTGGGGATGTAGAACAGTAGACTACTCCATCATTGACAGCTGGAGGCTAATCTTATCATCACTCAATCCCTCCCCCATCTCTCAAAAATAAATCAATTGGAAGGAAAGGTGGCCCTCATGAGGCAGGAGGTCAATAAACCCAGCCTTATCTACCTAGACAGTACATACATTGTGACAGCTTCAGCTTATTTCTAAGTTTGTCTGGTATTTATAATCCAGTTTTCAAGGAAGTAACAACAAATTATTGGAACTAAGGAGGATGTGTGAGCTGCCTGGTATAAGCTTGGTTAGAAAAGAGGATTTGAAAAGCAATCGTCAAATTCTAACTAAATCCCCTCTGCCAAGTGGCTTCTGTTCACAATAACTAGGAAAATAGAGCTGATACTATTAATCCAAGACTAGGAAAATTGCTTTAATGGGGAGGGATTGACACTGTAAGATCTACCCCTAGCTGCCAGTGACAGGGTTGTCTACTGTTCTATATCTGCAAAAATGGCTTCTATATTATCAGAACAGAGGCCACCTAGTGAAAGGCTTCAAACTAGTGATGCTTGTATGATACTAATGAATATTACAGTGGCCTTCCTGATGTATCTTTGGTAAAATAAGTTTTTAAAGACAAAGGTAAAGTGTAGGGTTAAT